AATGGGCAAAAGCAGTTTGTGCATGATCCTAGTGAGTTCTCATTAATTTTTCAAGTTAATCTTCCTAAGATTGGAATAAAGCATAATACAACTTTTATTTTTTCAGGACCAATTGCATAATGTAATATTAATGTCCCTATCCGACACCCCTTTTTGTTGTCCTTTGTGACTGGAGTGAGAAAATGTTTTTGTTTTTGTGGGAGAACCAATGCTTATTTGGGCATGTTTGTTCAGGTTACTGGCTCATGTAGGTTTGTAACATTTTGCTCGTATTTTTAAGGTTTGACAATTATGTTTGCATCTAGGCCTTCTGCTACATTACCTAACCTTATCAGTTAACACATTACATTATTATCATCTTACCAACAAGTGCATGCATCCTCAGTATTTTCCACGGATGTTTGGGCACGAGACATTGACAGCTATCTGAAATAGAACTGTCAGAGCGACAGCTATCTGAAATAGAACTGTCAGAGCCATTATGCTTTCTGATCTGCTGTCTGATTCACTGTGCAGAAATACTTTATAGATCGGATTTCTTTCCTGGTCTCGGGTGGATGCTGGCTAGATCTACATGGGATGAGCTATCACCGAAATGGCCAAAGGCATATCCTTGTTGCTGAAATGACTTTTATTTTAATTTATACTTCTCTATGCTTTTAAATTTAGATCCATATCCTCTAAATGTTTGCTTTCACAATGCTTCACTTACTGGGATGACTGGTTGAGGTTACAAGAGAATCATAAAGGTCGACAATTTATTCGGCCAGAAGTGTGCAGAACATATAATTTTGGAGAACATGTATGTATTCGTACTTTTTCATGTTCATTGCCTCCCAACCACCTTAAGCGTTATATAGTGCAAGCAGTCACACCTTTACTTTCCGAACAATTCAGTGATTTAGTGTATTGATTTCTGCACCGACTTTATTTAATATCTATCCTGGAAGTCAGGAAGTCTTATCTTAAAGTGGTTCTTTGTTCCTTGAAACTGCAAACATTGTTAGAGGAACAGATTTCATAAAGTTCGGAGTTATCTTTAAGTGGTCCTTTGTTCTTTGAAAATGCAAACAATGTTAGAGGAACAACTTTCATATTCTGAGTTAAAATGGTTCTTTGTTTCTTCTCCCATCTTTTTATTGCCGTATATAACTTCTTTATTTAATCCCTATGTAGTAGTTTTGCATTGTGATTAACTTAACCTAAGTGATATTGTCAAGTACAATGTCTTTAAAATAGTCCCCCCCCCCCCCCAACCCCCTCCCCTTTCCTCGTAGGATTGTCAAATTTCTTAAGCCTCATTTCTCATTTCTTGTAATGCAGGGTTCTAGTCTGGGACAGTTTTTCAAACAATATCTTGAGCCAATCAAGCTGAATGATGTCCCGGTAATTACCAATCTCTCTTCTATATCATTCCTCTACTCTAAGTTTGTCCTTATCATTATTCAACATTTTCATATTGAATTACTCTTTTCTACCTTTTGCTTCTAAAGGTTGACTGGAAATCAATGGATTTGAGCTACCTGATGGAGGTAATGGATGCTTTAATACATTGGCTGGAATGCTCTTTCTTTACATCTATAATCAATACATTTTTCAACCTGTTTGCAGGACAAGTATATAAAACACTTTGCTGACATTGTGAAAAAAGCTAAACCTATCCGTGGATCTGATCTTGTACTAAAGGCACGCAACATTGGTGGTGATGTTCGCATACAGTACAACGACCAGCCAGACTTCGAATACATTGCTGGCCAGTTTGGTATTTTTGAAGAGTGGAAGGTCATTTTCCTTTTTATTGTGCAACTTTCCTGTCAATCATCATTGAAATTAGGAATAATGCATTTGATTTTATGACTGGAGAATCTTCGATTCAATAAGTCCTGTCTCCATTAAGGATGCAAGTAGCTCTAGAAATAAAATGCGCTAAATGCCTCTTTAAACCCCAGTTGTTAAGTTATCAATCTGGAGTTGATTGTTTGTGTTTCCTTTGTTTTCAGGATGGTGTACCACGGACAGCATATAAAGGAATAGTTGTTTTCCGGTACCATATCCCACAACGTATATTCCTTGTTGGTCCAGATTCTCTCAAGCAGCTCGGAGTTAATGATTCTTGATGCAAAGTTGAGGTTAGTATGGTTCAAATTGCCACCATTTTCTGCTCAAAGTTTTGAAGTTTCACAAATTAATAGGATCTGAGATGTTTCTTCTCTTCTTTGCCAGACACTGTTCATAAGGAGAAAACATTGCTTCCGAAGTTCAAGATCTTGAGTTCATGCTAAACGTATGTTCTTGAATCACAAGCGCAACTCACACCAAAATCAATAACCAATGCTAACTAAACCTAGATGAGAGCCAGGTGCGTTTTTCGTGATTCGAGCTCTACAGTCGGCTATGTCTTCACTCTCCTGTAATTTGAGTTGTTCGGAAACTTTACCAGGTTACCACATTCAACGAGTAGCAATCTCCATATTCAGTTAGTCTTTAGGTGGTAGTGTCCAATCCTGTTTAAGTGTTGAAAGTTTTGAACATTTTTGTTTCCTTAACAGATACCGTTCCCTTCTGAAAGAAGATTGTGATCCTAATCCTTCATGTATGATATTTTGACAGAATGTACGTAGCATGCAGAATTCCAAAATATCACTTTTTATTTCTTTGTTATAATTATTCTTTATTTAATTTTAGCAAACTTGTGTACCATTGGAAAAAGTGTCATGACCTTTTTTCTGTTAATTTACTAAATTTGAAAAAGAAAAAGAAAACAAAATTGACCGTGTTCATACTCAATATTTGTCAGCACAAACAATATTTTAAGCAACTGAAAGATCGCATTCGCATGAAGAAATCAAGAGGCTCTGATGCTGCTCACGGCTGCTCCGTTGGTAGTACTACTGATGATAACAAGAAGAAATTGCCTTTTGATAACTTTGGATCCTTCTTCGCCCATTGGAACGTGTTATGGCACATAGATTGCACGAAGAGATGAAGGATTTCGTGCCTGAGTTGAAGAAGTTGACGTGTAGGGTTTTGAATTCTGAAAAGAGCGCTGCCCCCTTGAGCAAGACATTGAAGTGTAAAATCATCAAGGAGTCCCGGGACTATTCCTTTTTGCAATCTGACGGTGCAGAGAATTCCAATGCCTTCTAAAGGAGAGCATGAAGAAGTTGGCAAAAGCAAATCCTCCTCGGCAAAGTCTGAATCCTCTTCAACAAAACAATGCAGCACAAAACCAATGCCGAAACAGAACAAATCTGTCCCAAAACATCCAATCAAACATCGCGTGAAGGAGGAGCATCTGGAGGTTGTGATTGGCAAATCCAAACCCTCCTTGGCAAAGTCAGAATCTTGTTCAATAAAGCAAGGCTTGAAGCACACGAAGCAATCTATTGTGCCGAAATGCACAGCAAAGCCGATGCCAAAACTGAAAAAGTCTATCTCGAGAATCAGGTCAAAGACTGTGAAGGAGGAGCAATCAGTTGATGTTTCTTCTGTGATCCAGAAGATATTTGGGCGTAACCTCAAGCGCCCTAGGGAGAATGATGACGGAGATGATCGTGTCGATGGTGTCCACATTTGATGACATTCTGAAGGAAGAGAGGAAGAGTGCAAAAATCGCGAATGAGGAAGATGAAAGAGAACGGTTGCTGCTCAAAAAAGAGAGAACAAGAAGAAGGGTTAAGAGCAACAAAGAAGCTGAAGATTAAGATCAAAGTTTCGAAAAACTGATGTTGTTCCATTTAGATTTTGGAGATTTTATTTATTCAGAAAATTGGATTTCATTTCCTTAATATCAAGTTCATTTTAAAGAAATTGATCTTACTGTAAAATTTTATTTTTAAGGAAATTATTGATGCAAGTTGCCTGATAATTTCCAATTTACAGTCTTTGCACTTTACCACTTTTTTTGGTCACTGTCTTTTGTGAAGTGAACTAGTTGCTTTTAGAACAAGTTAGGGTTTCAAACTGCTGAAGTTTTGCATCCTGCCGACGTGGAGCAATTTTTTCTCCAGCTGAGGCAGCAAATAAAAGAGACTGAGAACCTGACATGAAGAAATTAGGAGGCTCTGCTGCTGCTCAAGGCTTACTCAGACGGTAACGATAACAAGAATTTTCCTTTCAACAACTTTGGATCCCACTTTGGCCCCTGGAAGCCTGTCATGTTGTAAAGGTTGAACAAAGAGATGAAAGCTTTCAGGCCGGATATAAAGAGGCAGGCATCTATCCCTTCAGTTTCGGAGACTTGGTATTCCTCCTTGCTAAAAGTACTGGATGAAAAACCATTCTTGAACATAATCAGGTTAAAAGCAGTGTGATTAAGGAAACATTAGGATGCAATCATAAGCGACTTGGGAGGATGATGACAGAAATAAGAAAGAAAAAAAAGTGGCAACTATCAAGAAAACTCCATCTTCGTCGTGTTCCAACATTCCTTGTGCCGCAAGCAATGTCGATGTTAAACAATTGGAAAATGCGGAGGACTGTTTCGCCTCAGACTTGGACGCATCTGAGCCGGTGACTCAGTTATCCAAATTATCCATGACGTCCGATGATATTGCTGCTGTTGGTGAGAGAGGCAGATTGCTTGTAGAGATTATCCGCGTTCGAGGCACCTCTGTGTGAAATTCCCTTTCGAAACAACGCCTCATGAAAGCTACTGCAAATTGGAAGGTACTAACTTTAGAGGACTTTGTTAACCACACTGGATGGCTCAGTAGTTGGAGACGAATTTCAGGCCCGTATTCTATACGGCATATTCTAAGTTCAATTATTGACTCTAGTAAATCACACGATAGTACCCAGAAAAGGCTGAAATACTCCTGACCTCAAAATGATGGACTGCCGTGATGAAGCAATCAGAATGTCTCTTTTTTTAAAATAAAAAAAAAATGAACTTTAGAGGACTTGTTAATTATTTATGTTTTTTCAGAAGAAGAAAAAGTTTATATTTATACCAACCTAACACGACATGTCGTTCTCGTTGAATTGAAGTCGTCTCGCACCTAAAAACCTAAACCCTTCTGCTCACTCTCCCTTTCAGTTCCCGTTCCCTTTCCGTTCCCGCCGAGCTTTTACCAGAAGCAGCCATGGCCTCCATCCTCTCCAAGAAGCAGAAGCAGAAGCAAAAAAGCACCAAGCTTTCCGACCTAAAAACACTAGGGAACCAGCTCCTCTCGTCCCGGGCCCACATCAACAACCTCCCTAAGCTCCTCTCATTCGTCTCCCCGGCCTCGCCGCCCCAGTTCTTCCTCGAGTCCCTCCTCTCTCTCCAGTCCTTCTTTACCCCTCTCCTTCTCGACCTACCTCCCTCCTCCTCCAAGCCTTCCGCCGCCGATGGCTCCCATGACGACCCCGACTTCATATACCGCACCTGGCTCCGCTCCAAGTTCGACGAGCTCGTTGAGGCCCTCGTCGAAGTCCTGCTTTCGCCGCAATCTGACGAAACTCTCAAGGTCGCTTTTCCATTTGTTGAATTTCAGTTCTTTTCTCTTTTCTCTTTCTCTTGTTTTTATGTAATTTTGAATTCAATTTTTTAATTCGGTTTGCTGGTGATGTGATTAGGAGGTGGTGTTGGACACGATAATGGAGTTTGTGAAGTTCGGAAATGGCGGAAAGTTTCACTCTGCAATGTACCATAGGCTGCTTCGTAGTATTGTAAGTTTTATTTATTCTCCAAAAGCTTAATTTGAGTTTTATTTTTCATGTTTCTCTGTTGTAATTTGAAGAGTAAGTTATAATTTTCTGTTGTCATCCATAGGTTTACACTACGGAACCGGTTAATTTGTTGTTAGACTTGCTCTCATCCAAGTATTTCAAGTATATCGATGTCCGGTAAGGTCACATTCCATTAATTTTAGTAATTTTATTGAGGAAAGTTGTGGTACTGACCACTTAAAAAGTATTGTAATTGTTGCATCTATTTTTTGCAGTTATTTTACCTACATTAGCTTTGAAAAGCTTGCTAAAATTCTGGATGCAAACGGCATTTCTGGTACATTGTGCTGTGGTTCTTGCAAAAAGTTTGACTTTTCATTTTTTCATCGTTTCGAGTGGTGGTGGTATTAGTATTAACTTGGTTGGTTTGTTGTTTCTATCTCTCTCTTAGAGGACAAAAACGTGAAGAAAGACGGCAGTGATGGGGAGCATCCCAGCAAAAGGTTAGTATTGTCCACAATGTTATCACATAGGAAATTTCGATTCTTTTATTCTCTCATTGAATTTCTCTTGTTAAGAGATGTACATAACCCTAATATGGAACATTTCCTTCTGTGCTCTGATTAAGTCGGAGGTAATGCCAAGTGGTGAAGTTTTTGGGTAATAATAACCGTAGATTTTTAGTGTTACATTCGCCATATGCAGATTGTTGACACTACAGATGTTTTGGTTTCACATCAAGATTTCTTGGAATTAAACATTTTACTTTTAAGTTATTGAGATCCTTGTAGCCTCTACGTAATATTGGATTCTTCTTTGACTCAAAGTCCATTTTCATCTGTCCTATTCTTTAATTTTGTGATCAAGTCAATGAATTCTAGTTTATAATGCATAGGTGTTAGATTCTTTAGTATGTTGATGCTTTAACTGGTTAGCTTTTGACTGCTAAAATCATTTACTTGCAGCATGGATCAAGTAATTCACAAGATTCATTATTTGATATCACACATCCCCTCTCTGGAAAGCTCAGTTGAAAAAACTGATCATGAGATGTGGAGTGGATCAGGTTAGTGGAAGATATTATTATTAATATTATAATGGATAAGTTAGTCACCTACCAAAAGGGAAAATAGAGTATGCATCAGTTAGTCAATCCCTGCTATGGCCTCAAACATGATTATGGCCCAACCTTTTGTTTTAACTTAATGAAATGTAAAGATGCTGAAAAATAATCCTCTTTTCCAGTTCATTGGACAGTATTATAATTAGTCGAAAGAGTGAGTAATACATGGATAATTCCATAAACATTAGAAGGAAGTGTTATCTTTCTTTTCTATTTTTTGTATGCTTCTGTGATCTAACCATGGCATGAGACAAGAGTCTCTTTAAGTTATGGCAATTTACACTGCCAATTCTGCTTCAAATTGGTTGCTCTAATATACAATTCTCATAGTTTCACCTACCCAAGTTCACGGTAATCTATGTGAATGTGTGTGTGTGGTTTTCCTGTATGTTTAAGTATTTTCTACATAAACCGAGGGCTGTGAGTATCCTCATGCCTCATGTCTCAATTTCAGACTATAAGAACTTTCGTCCCTATTTCCTATTGTATAACATCTTTTAATTTTGTGATCATTTGAGCTTTTAAGTTTCTTTGTTTATTGATTTTTTTTTTTTTTTTTTGTCTAAAGGTGAATATGAAGGGCTTGCTGGGAAGATGAAGGCAGATGGTAAACAGCACAAGACTGAGAAGCAGAAGGATAAGGTAATCTAGATGTGTCAATGCAACTATCAAAATTGTTTGTGTATTCATTCACTAGATTTCCCTCTCTATTTTGCGTATGAGATTAAAGTTCCACATTCCTTATGGATTCACAATGTCTTCAGGTCTTGTCTGCAGACATATTGCCAAAAAGATGAAATTGAAATTTACTAAAGCATGGTTATCATTTCTAAGGTTACCACTTCCAATTGATGTGTACAAGGAGGTAAGACTCATAGCCACTACCCAAAACGTGATTAATTCTCTCCCTTTCTTCATAGCTCAACACCATGTCCTAATTTGAATGTCTTTTACTAGCCATACACTTTATTTGGACCATACTTGTTTCCTTTATATGGAATGCTGTGCTAGTAAATATGTAGAAGCAGTGCCTGATGTGTGGTACTGTACTTCATGTGCTTTGGTTTTGTGATTTTCGTCCCCTTTAGTCTCTTTGACAAAATCTTATCATATAAACACAGAATTTTTGTTTCTTTTAGTGCTATTTTGATAACTAAGATGATTAGAAAGGGCCAACAAAGGTAGAATCCTTCAAAATTGCAATTTACGAGTTGAGATAAAGTCAGCTTTTTTTGCTTTATTTAGGCTCCATATCTAATCATTTAAGGATGTTCACCTTGGCTTGATTCTATTGGATTCACCCCCCTTTCTTTGTCTCAAGGGTGGGTTTAGTTTGGTCTTGTTTGGCTTCGGGGTTCTAGTTGGTTCCCCTCGCTGTTCTTGATTTTCGTTTTGTATGATTGATCTTTTATCCATCTTGTTTTGTACTCTCTTTATTATGAAATTTCAGTTTTTTATAACAGGAAAAAAGACTAAATGTTATTTTCATCTAGTGCCTGTCTGTTCATTCTGTTTACCTTGCATTTATATATAGTTTTCTACTTTATAATTCTCTGACTGGGCTATGGTTTAATTCTCAGGTTCTTGCCACTCTCCATCAGGCAGTCATTCCTTTCTTAGCTAACCCCGTCTTGTTATGGTAAAATTACTGAACATATTTTATTTATGGTTTTCAGTTTGTTCTTTGTGACTTTGAGTGTATTTAATTTCTTAACAAAACATGCAGTATCCTTTTCTATAAGCTCATATGACATATATTGACAATGTGCAGTGACTTCTTAACTCGATCATATGACATTGGTGGTGTTATTAGTGTCATGGCTCTTAGCAGTCTCTTTATCCTCATGACACAACATGGTTTAGAGTACCCCAACTTTTATGAGAAACTTTATGCATTACTGGTTCCCTCTATTTTTATGGCAAAGCATCGATCAAAGTTTTTCAGGTAATACTAATCTTACTGCAGTAACAGTTTATACTTCCATACACAAGCCATATAGGACTAATTGGTAATATTTAGATTGAACTAATTGGTTAATTTATGATCGTGCTATTTTATTTGAAGCTTGTAGATGCTTGCTTAAAATCACCACTTCTTCCTGCATATTTGGCTGCTGCTTTTGCCAAGAAATTGAGTAGGCTGTCAATCTCAGTTCCTCCGTCTGGAGCATTAGTTATTATTGTGCTGGTTCATAATCTTCTACGGAGACATCCTTCAATCAATTGCTTGGTGAATCGGGTATGAAGACAATCTTTAATTGTTTCTTTGTCAATGAATTTACTATCCTCTTGGCCTGAATTCGTGGGTGTTTCTTTGTTATTTCTTTTCATACATGATGCATATGAGGAGTTAATGTTTGTGCAGGGAGGTGGTGGTGAAACTGTGAAAGATGATCCAGAAGCAGAACAGAGGGCTGCTGATGGCGCCGATGGCACTGGAACTGGTTCAGCAGATAAGTCAATCAAAAAATCAGGCATGGATCCTTTTGATAATGAACAAAGTGATCCTATGAAATCAAATGCCATGAGTAAGTACTTTACTTCCCCACTAATCTCCAAATCTTTTGCGTTTCATGTAGCTTTTACGTATTCATGAGATATCTTTTTAAACAGGAAGCTCACTTTGGGAGATTGATACCCTCCGTCACCACTACTGCCCTGCTGTTTCAAGGTTTCATGCTCGAGTCCTGATCGCGCGATTACTGTACAGTCCTTTATATCTTTCAACTTTTCCTTATATATTTTCCTTTGCTCTTAGGTTTGTTTTGTCACTCGAGAATGATTTGACAGTCAGAGCCAAAACTACTGAAATATCTGTTGAAGATTTTAGCTCAGGTTCATATGCGACAATATTTGGAGAGCAGGTATTGTCTTGTCTCGGAATTCCTCGAGTATATTAGACTTTATGCATTCTGGGAATTTATACTCACAAGGAAAAAGTAGTGGAAACCGGTACTTGTAGCCCAAGAACATAAATTGTAGAAAGCTACTGTTAGTATATGCCTTGTGCAATTAATTTGATGGTTTCATCTCCAGGCATCTTAGTTCACTGCACTGACTATATTGCAGGTGAGACGAAGGATAAAGTCGGCTCCACTAGCATACTACAAAGCAGCTCCGACCTCTTTGTTCTCAGACTCCGAGTCTCAGTTTCCCGGTTGGACTTTCACGTGTGAAGACAGTAAGCGAAGGAACGACAGCGCTGATGAGAACGGGAAAATAGATAAAGAACGTGACCATAGTCCGGTCAAACGACAACGCGTCAAGTGCTGATAACCGAAATGTACTCACTCAAGGGGGCTGGAATATGCTCGTGAATCATAAGATTTTGAGCAACAACGATAGAGTTATAGGTCTATGACAATTTATCATTGTACGTGTATTTTTCTTTGTGTATCCTTGATACCTTAAAATACCCCGTAATGACGTGGTCTACAAGTTTGGCATAATTAGTAAATTTTAGACATTTTTTTAGTATTTGAAGTTCTTCCTGTTAATTTCAAACAGTCGAATATATATGGGAATTTCGTCGTAAGAAACTAGTACTTTCATTAATTAGAATCCAAGTATCTTAAACCTAATTAAATCTCCAATAAGAAATGCAACATCAATTTTGGAAACTTTGATCTTAATCTTGAGCTTCTTTGCTGCTCTGAACCTTTCTTCTTGCTTCTCCTCTTGTTCGAGCGGCAATCGCTCTCTTTCGTCTTCGCCCCTCACGATTCTTGCACTCTTCCTCTCTTCCTTCAGAATGTCGTCAAATGTGGACACCATCGCAAGGTCATCACCGTCATCATCTGGCCTAGGGAGCTTGCGAATGCGTCCGAATATCTCCTGGATCACAGAAGAAACATCAACTGATTGCTCCCCCTTCACACGGTCTTTGGCCTGGTTCTTTGAGACGGATTTCTTCGGTTTCGCTGTGCTTTTCGGCTCAACAGATTGCTTTGTGTTGCTTCGAGCCTTGCTTTATTGCACAAGATTCTGGCTTTGCCGAGGAGGGTTTGGATTTGCCGATCACATCCTCTGAACGCTCCTCCACGCGATATTTGATCGGATTTTTTGAGACGGATTTTTTTCTGTTCCGGCTTTGGCTTTAGGCTACATTGCTTTGTTTGCTCCAAGCCTTGCATTGTTGAAGAAGATTCAGACTTCGCCGAGGAGGGTTTGGTTTTGCCAACTTCTTCAGGCTCTCCTCCTTTTGAAGGCTTTGGAATTTCTGCACCGTCCGATTGCAAAAAGGAGTAACCCGGGACTCGATGATTTTACACTTCAATGCCGTGCTCAAGGGGGCGGGACTCTTTCCGCTGGCTTTAGCCTTGTCGCCGGAATTCAAAACCCTAGAAGCCAACTTCTTCAACTCCGGCATGAAATCCTTCTTCTCCTCGCACACTCTCTTCGTCATAACACGTTCCGATGGGCCGAAGAAGGATCCGAAGTTGTCGAAGGCAATTTCTTCTTGTTATCATCTGTAGTACTACTAACCGAGCAGAAGTGAGCGGCAGCAGAGCCTCCTGATTTCTTCATGCGAATGCGATCTTTCAGTTGCTGCCTCAGGTAAAGGAAGTCCAGTTGCTCTGCCTTAGTAGAGGAGCCATATTTTCCGATCCCGAAGTCGAAACCCTAACTTGTATGAAAAGCAACTAGTAGTCCACAGAGTGATGTAGGTCGTAATGGAATGGGAAAGTCTCTATTCATATGTTTTAGGAATTTCTTAATCCTAATAGGAATTGGAATCCGCGTCATAGGATTTTCCTAACAAAATTAATCCAATTTATCTTGAAATAATTAGCACTGAAGAAAATTAATTTATTTATTAAACAATAAATCCGGTTGTTCCCACAACCGCATCCAAATTCCTCCAAACAGATATTGCTTGTTTTATGATGCCTTTGTTTCCCTTTTTTCCCCTTCTAAATTAAAACTAATGCAATTGAATTTAGGTTTTTATGATTTGAGAAGATGGGTTGGATTAGTTACCAGGAAAAAAAAAAAAAAAAAAAAAAAAAACCTGATTTATTGCTATATTATTATGTACAACAAATTTCAATCAAAAGCCAACAGAAATGTTTGGATCGTAAGACGGATCAAAACAAGAAATGGTTGGCTGTTTGATGGCAATTCTGGATAAATAAATAAAAGAGAAAAAAGAAAACTGATCATTCAATATCATCCTCAAACTGTGATTGATCGAACATCTAATCTAATCATGATTTACCATCTAGTTCCTCCTGCAGAAGGTTCAGGCCTTCCGTCGATATACTCCTCTTGAATTTTAACTTTGGGATCTCAAGCAACGGGGGTGGATCTGGCGAGAAGCATACCACAACCACCGTCAGGTTATCGCACGTGTTGCGCTTGAGTGCCTCCCGAACCAGCTCTCTTGAGCATCTCTCGGGATCATTGTGAATCATTAGTTCTTTCCTTGCGATTGTGACTGCACACTGGCTGCTCATCACATCCCACAGCCCGTCACAGCCTAGGATCAAGAATTCGTCTTCCTCGCTTAGAATCGTCTCCTCAAGCTCCGGCTCTGCGCTCAAGGGACACAAGGATCCTTTAGAGCCTTTCATGTGCCAGTCCCCAAGAGCTCGTGCAACCGATAATTGACCATTGAGGTAGCCATCGTACACCACACCTCCCAGTTTCTCAATTCTTATTCTTTCTGAGGCGCAATTGGGTTTATGGTCTTTGGAAAGCTCCACTGCCCTACCTCTTCTTCCCAGCACAGCTCGGCAATCCCCAGCATTCGCAATTAACATCGTCCTGAAAAGGAGAAATCATATGCACATCACAATCATACCAATTATAAAGACACAAGTAATTGAACTTTGTGGTCAAAATCCTACAAGCCTCCAGTACATTCTTCATACAGAAAAAAACTTATCAAGTTTACCTCGGTATGACTTTATATTTTATAGCCGGACATCTATCGCACAATGGAAGTGTTTAAAATGTGACCCCCTGCCTTCCACTAAAACGTTTATTACCATGTTACAAGCTCTATATTGATGCCATGAGATATAAAGCCATGAGAGCATTCCTGGACGAAAGCACCATGGATGACATTGTAACAGCAAGAAATGTGGTTGGCAAAGATGAAATATTACTTGTGGACGTGGCGCAATAAGATAGCTTATAATGTACAATGATCTCAATAGAATTCAAATTTTCCTACTAACAATTCTCCAGCATATAGCTCCTCCATAAGCTTCAAAATTGATCTGTTGGCAATTGTTCAAAAATTGTTTCTAACAACCCCAAAACAGAAAGTTTTCATCGAGGGAGCAGATAAAGCACATTGCAAATATGAAAACTAACATACAGCTGCTAGCAGAACCGATACAATTTAAAATCACTTTATGAACAAAAGATGAGAAAAGACACAATAGAATAATAATAACTCTCACCTTCCAGAAATGAGGGCAGTAAGTACAGTGGTACCAGAAGAACTATCAAGACTACCGGTATCAGCAAAAGCAAGGTCAGCGTTTAGGAAAGCGCTCTTAATAGCCTTCTTAGTACAGAAGGGAAAATCCGGGTCCTCAACTATAAACCTTAAAATGTTCTCTCTAACAAAAGAAGCTGCATCAGTACCACCATGGCCATCAAAAACCTGCAATAGAACAAAATGATTGACACATAATGGCATGTCAGGGTTGTTCTATACTCAGAAAAATCACATGAAAGTAGCATTAATCTTTCTGATTACAATTTTACACATAGTTCGATGATTGAAATACAGACCCCGTAGAATGCTCCTGGAGAAGTGAAGTTCTCAGTTGCACCTAGATGATCAAGTATATTGTCTATACGGACATGCTCATCCTCCATAAATGGTTTTGATCCAATCTCAGCGCAGCTTCCAGAGCGAAAAACAGGTACAAAAGCTGAGTTACCATTTGATGGGGACTTTGAATTAACAATCTCAATATCCAACTCCTAAGCAAGGAGTGACAAGGCAACATCAAATTTCATGCCATTTAATATGAAATGAATAATAAAATGCAATTGTTATAGCTGATAGAAATCAATCTCACCACTTCAGGTGCAGGAGCCAACTGGGCAGTGCTAACACAATACCTAATAGCTGCGAGGTGCCGAGGAGGTTTGCCAACGCTCGGTTGCTTTAAGTTCTCAAAAGTACTTGATTTCTCGTCTCTTGTAACAATAACATTCTCCTTTCTCAAACTGCCATCCAACATGGAAAGTGGATGTGGATAATCAGTGCCTGCAGCCATTTTTTTCCAAAACATAATCCACTCCTGGATTAAAAAAACTGGACTTCAAGTATACCCTTTCCAACTGGACTTCAAGTATACCCTTTCAAGGACAAGGACTCTTTCCACATACAGGTAGTTCAAACTTCAAGAGCTTCGTACTATTCTCAAGCAAACAAATTTCGATATCAGGAGCAGATACCACACAACAGCTCCAGTTACGCGTCTACCTTTTGTGTTGTTCCTTCAGATATCTGAGCAGAAAAGTACCCGAAAATTCTCAACTCACTTCTCAATAACTTGTTAAACTAAAAGTTAAAGATCAAACAGCGCAGTTAACCTATTGAACCACAAGCTACAAGCCTAAACTGTACTGAAAATATAAACTCCCTAAAAAGCAAAGAACTTTGAAATTTCCAGGACTACCCACAAATCCATATCACAATCCAAACCATCAAATCAGCCACAACCATATCAAATTTCAGGGAACAAAACAGAAAAACCCATAATAATCACGACTCTATTCTATTTTTGGTAAAGCATAAAGTCCATAGCTATTATTTGTAGAATACAAATCATATAATTCACAGATTTAGAACTACAGAAACCAAATCCAAATACAGAAACCATCACAGACCAAGCAAAAAACTTAAGCAGAGAAAACCCAAATTCACAAAATTAATTACTTAAAAACCCTAATAAGATCACACACAAAAGATGGCAACTCCTCCGCCATAAAGATTCAAACTTTACACATAAAAAAGATAAGATTTGAAGAAAATAGTAGGTGGGCGATGAGATTATGAGATGGAAAATACTTGCCTTACTGTTTTGGTTAGCTAAACGAAACCTTCAAAGATCCCTGAAAGAGAAATTGGAAATTGATGGGAACAAATAAGCCCACAAAACCCACAAGGCTTTCAACTCAAAAACTAGGAAAATTGCTTTTATTTTCTATTTTAATTGAATTCTTTTGGTTTGATGTGTGCACGATTTGACGTTGAAAAAGAGTTCTGATGGATGAAGAAAACAGAGGGCAACCGGCTACGTGTGTATTTTCAACCGGTCATCGCGGGTCGCCCGGTTGGAGTCGTAAATACGGACAGATGGGAGATTGACACGTGGCGGGGATGGTGTTTGATATTTTTGGGTTGGTAACCGGATGATGGGAAAGGAGGCTGTGGGAGTTCAGGTGTGGGAGATCAACAATTGCGGCTGGGGTATTTTTGCAGCCGTTGGATTATAACAGTTGTGGACGGTTCTCACCAAAAGTGGGGAAACCGGTAGTTGACGGTCGTTGACGGCGCCGATCTTTAGTTCATGTTTTCAAAGCGGTAAAATTGGAAATAGGTTTTTGCAAAAAGTGGAGATTCTAAATCCTAAATATATTATTATTCCAAACCAATGCCATCCATTCACACACATCACATTATTTTAAATTTATTTTTTCATCGATACCATAAAGTCTGAGTTGTCAAAATTGTAACATCCCACATCGCTCAAGATAGTGATATATTCTCATCCCTACCTAGCACGAGACCTTTTGGGAGCTCACTGGCTTCGGGTTCCTTTGGAACTCCGAAGTTAAGCGAGAAGGGGGCTAGAGCAATCCTATGATAGGATGACCCACTAGGAAGTTGCTCATGAGTTCCCAAAAACAAAACCGTGAGAGAATGGTAAGCCCAAAGCCAACAATATCGTGCTACGGTAGTGGAGCAGGCTCGGAAAGTGATCCGTCCCAGACGGGGATTCGGGAAGTGACAAAAATTGTCACATAAACATAAAACAATAATAAAAAAATAGCAACAAACTCTTTCCAACCGAGTCTTCAATTTTTTACATGGCGTTGAATCATTTAAAGACAAGGCATTTTGCTGTCAAAATCATTTAATGACGTTTCAATATATGAGATGCAATATATAATAAACGTTGTTGTGTGCTTCAAGTATTTGATTTGTTGTCTCAATAATTTGACTCTGTAAAGAAATAAAAAAAAGTTTATAAATTGATAATATTATTTAACATATAGGAGGAGCAGGCAAAAAATTATACAAAATATCGAATTCTCACATAAGTTATCAAACACGGTAGAAACATTAAAGAGAAAGACCTTTCACAATTTTATTTTCACATTAATCAGCCCAAAAAATTAAAATGCATTTTCACAACATGTCGTGTGTTTGATTTGATGAAGGAGATTTAGGTCTGGCTACCCTACGCGATTCCAGCTCGTTATGATTGCATCTCTACATTTGAAATTGTCTAAAAATTATGTATGGGTAATATATGTCATTTACTCAAACTTGATCACTTCAATTGCATTCACGATAGAGTTATGTCTCCATACCTTTTCTCAACTTCTTTTTAGTAAGTAAAACATGGGTTTTGATTCATATGTATTTACAACTTGCAGGTTGAAATGAATAATGACACTACAACCAAAGAAAAAAAAAAAGACCCTTTTCACGCGAAATAATTTTGTCAGACCAAATACATTTTCGTCACCTATAATTTTGCCCAATAAGATTCTGTCGGACAAAATTTGTCACACAAAATCCGTCGCTCAAACGTTTGGCCGACGAATAATAAAATTCGTCAGGCAAAGTGCAACAGGTTGGCTTTAGAGACTCGACAGCTCAGTAGAACGGCGCGGACTGCAAGCCGTGGCTTGTTGACGACACATCTCAAATGGCAAGAAGTTGTGGCTCATGCAAGTTTAGGATAGAAAACCCCTAATTTTTCTTGCTTTTTTTCTACTATTTTCCTTTCACAATCATCAATTCACAAAATAGTATGCATATAAAATAATCTGAACACAATTTAAGCAGAAACTATAGTTCGGAATACATAAAAGTTGAGTTCATGCATCATTGTGAATGTTCCATGCAATCAAAGAAAAAAAATAACGACGAATGAAACTTGCCTAATGCCATTTTGTCAAGATTTTAAAAACAAAAATAATTAGCCTAAATAAATATTCGTCGGGCAGTTAATTTAAAGAAAAAATATTCAAATAAGAAATACGTGCTCAACGAATATATTCCTCAAGCAAAGCGTATATATTTTTTGAAAATTCATAATTTAAACAATATTTCATTTAAATAAATTAATTAATTCTAATTATATTAATCTAAAAAGCTATGTTAAATCACAACATTAAATAAATTTATTTAAGTATATGTACAATAAAATCTTTGTACAATTATATGTAAAAAATACTCAACTAACTACAACTATTGGTTTGGCTATTGAGGTGGCTGGTAGGATGGCGGCTGAAGGTCGCTCGGAGGCGTTCCCAGCAATGTACCGCAAAAGGCCCTCCTCTTGCTAGCACACGACTGCTTCTCGAGCTTCTTCTCGCGAGCACGCTTCTTCTTTAACTTCTTCTCGCTAGTGCATGATGTTAAAGAAATCAACCCCATCTCATTAAAGGACTTACACAAATCTAGAATAAAGAATTCTAGAACATTCACTAAGGTTGGTTAGCTAGATTATCCAAGTTAAAGTAGTACTTTGTAGAAATGGCTAGAATGTTGTCTCTTAAGTTGGTGGAAGAGTCTAGAAGAATGGTGAGGTTTCCACCAACATGCAAGATTAGTGTAGATAATTCTAGCTTAGGAAGTTAGTGGAATTATCTAGATATCTCTAGCGTTGTGTGTCCATGCTTCTCCAATGTTTCATCCATGCCTATAAAAGGAGAAGGCATCCACACCATTTATATCAACAAATCAACAAATCAACAAGCAAGCTTGTAAGCAAGCAAGCGAGAGTGAGAAGAAAGAATAGTCATGTAAGAGTGTGAGTGTTCTAGAGTTTGTCTCTAGAAAGTGAGTGTCATAGCTTCTCAAGAGTGTCTTTGATAGTTTGTGTTGTAATATTTTGTTTGTGTAATACAAGTAATTTGTTTACTTGTATTGTCTCTCCAACATTTGTGCTAGAGTTGTGTACTCTAAGTTTTTTTTTCATCCCAACACATGACCACTAACTCCATCTCCAATTGTTGTAAGTTCCAGAATCTATTTATGATCCTTTATTTTTTCTGTTTTGTCTCATGAAGTTTACATAAAAATATATAAAACCAATAAATTTAAAATAAATAAATAAATTCCAAATCTTAACTTCCCTATGGACTTTTTTTAGCCATGACCGCCTTCCTAGATATCTTTTCAGTGGCTTGTGTTCAGGCTCCATCCCCAGTAAAGCCCCAGCATGCACTGTTTAGTATGTTGTTGGCTTTTCTGGCTCTACTCGCCTACATTTTCGCGCTCATTTGCAAAGGTAGAATGGAGAGAGTTGAATTTAGGATGTGGTGGTTCACTGGTTGTATTATTCACGCCCCTCTCGCATGCCTTTTGTTACTGAAATTGACATATATTTTCCGGTACTTAGTTGCACCTGCACGCTCATTTGCTCGACGGTTCCTTATGTTTGCTACATTCGGCATGTTGTAAATCCTCTAAGGCCAACCCTTTATTCTGGCATCATTATTATTTATCTGTATGCTTCAACGGCATATGAGAAGCGAAGAGAAATGAGAGTTGCGCAGAACACAAGGATGCAAAATATAGAAGAGTATCCGCGAGTAGATGCATAAACTCTGACAAGACACACAGCATTTACCCCGTTTGTATAAGAAAAACGGTAATCCAATTTTATTTGCAGTATGTAAATGTGCTTAAAAATTAATGTTAAAGATTAATGAGTCAATGAGGTTTAACTTTTATATGTCCATTTCATTTACATATCATCACATGGAATGCGAATTCTTCCAAATCCAATTCTCCATCAGAAATCTTAAGCAAAAACTCATAAATATCATCTCCCCAGTGGAGAGGACTAAAAACCCTAGGGAGCAGAAAATCATCGTGAACCCCGTTCCAACTCTTTGGATTTGAAAGATCCGAATGTAAGCAGATTTAGCAGCTTCAAGAAGCTTAATTTTGAGATCGTTATGCCGGCCGGCGTGTTAGACCCTCCCATCACAATCCCTGCATAACATGGAGCAAGGGTAACAGTTAAAAGAACAAATCACTACCCCAACGTAAGTTCACGTAAGTTCTACAAACTTAAGTTTGAGATGAAGAATATTGTTGCCGTGGCCTAAAAGCGTTTCCGGGTTGCAGTCGCAGCAAGATCCTTCACTCCAAGTGAAAGTTGAAAACCCACAGCACTTTTGGCAAAGTAACTCAGAGAGACATCATATCTTCAAATGATCTCTTCACCATGTCATGGTATGATCAATGGGACAAGTACCGAGCTTAAACCTTGTTCTTCTTCAACTTCTTGCTTTTTTTCCAACAAAAGGAGAAGAAAATCTCCTTTGGTTATTTTCCCCACTCAAAGTTGATATACATCGTTAAGCCCTTCTCTGGTAACTTAAGCTTTTGAGGCTAGTGGTTGTCTAACATGGTATCAGAGAATTCCGAGTGTAGGCAGGTGCAGCGACATCTATATGTTTGTCTGTGTCCCCTATTGGTCTACCTCTCCACGCGATCTTAAGCTTTTAGGGCTAGTGATTGTCTTACACCTTCTGGCCTATAGACTAACGTTGTACCTCACTTACCACTCCCTCCCACTCGCTTTAAACAATTCAATCATGCCATTTTTCTAAAGTGTCACTGATACAAAAGAGAAGCATACTCGTGCCAAATTGCCCTCTTTACGTTGTTTGAAGTCATCTCATCATAAGAATTAATTAATTAATTAATGGAACTTGCCTCGGCTCCATTCTTTCTTTTGAGTTTTGAATTTCTTGCTAGCTTTACTTTACTGGGTGCTCATTTTTCTTTTTTCCTTTATATATATATATAATTTTCCTTTTCTCTATGGAACTGTTCTTTCAACTAATGTTTCTTTTAATTAATCCATCAGTAGTGACTACCATACTCTTTGTTTTTTCTTTCACTGCTTTTCCATCAGCAATCCAAAAGCTAGAAGAAAGAGAGAAGTGCGGAAGGAGAAAACGGGAGTGTGAAACTTGGTGGGTATTACTCTGCCTCTGGTAATATTCCTCTCTGCCTGCCTCCCACCTGAACTTTTCACTTTTATTCATGCTTCGAGTTTGGTGGGCATTCCTTATATATCTAAAAATATTGCTTTAGGGAGACATATTTCTGCTTTTGGTATACCCTAATTGTCTGTCTGTCTGATTTCCAATTGTTTTATCTTCTTCATTATGCTTTCTGAATGAAAAGGTCCTTGAATGCCAAGCTTCTTGTAATTAACTCTTACATTGAATGTGATTTCGAAGCTGAATTCGATTGTTTCATTTGTCCACCTTGTTTCGATATACGAAACTTTGTCGATACTAGTTGTCTGCATACAAGGCTCCGCAGAAGCAGCCTCAAGACCTCCTGTCATGAATGTTGGTGCAATGTTCGCAGCTGGCAGCATCAACGGAAAAGTCTTGAAGATTGCCATTGAGGCTGCAGGGAATGATGTGAATGCTGATCCAAGCATTCTTGGTAAAACTAAATTGTCCATATCTTTTCATGATTCCAACTACAGCGGATTTCTTGGACTCATTGGAGGTAATATTCTTTTTCGCTTTGTGTACGCCTCTTTTTACAACAGAAATTCTAATATTGTCGAAAATGCATCAATAACATGTACTTGAATTTGTACTTCTTGTTTCTTTGTTGATCATACATTAAGGTACATGGAGTCTGATACCTTCGCTATACTTGGTCCACAAAATTCTGTGATGGCTCACATACTTGCACATCTTGCCAATGAGCTACGTGTCCCTTTACTGTCAGTCACAGCGCTGGACCCCACCCAAGCAAGTCTGCAGTACCCTTACTTTGTTCAAACCGCACCCAATGGTCAATTCCAGATGGCTGCTATTGCAGATATTGTTAGCTATTTCGGTTGGTCAGAGGCGGTTGCGATTTTCACCGATGATGATAACAGCCGAAATGGTGTTGCTGCACTCGGTGACAAACTTGCCGAAAAACGTCACAAGATTTCATACAAGGCAGTGCTTCCACCTGACCCGACACCAACTCGAGAGGATGTAAAAAAATTGTTGATAAAGGTTCGAATGATGGAGTCTCGAGTGATTATTCTACACACATTCTCCAAATCTGGTCTCCTGGTTTTTGATGTGGCTAAAGAACTTGGGATGATGGAGAGTGGATATGTTTGGATAGCCACAACTTGGCTGTCCATTGTTTTGGATTCAACTTCACCTCTTTCTTCGAAAACCGCTAGCTCCATCCAAGGCGCTCTGACTCTTCGTCCACACACGCCGGATTCTAAGCGAAAAAGAGATTTCATATCAAGGTGGAACGAGTTGAGTAATGGCTCTATCGGGTTGAATCCTTACGGTCTATATGCCTATGACACAGTTTGGATGCTTGCTCATGCTATAGATTTGCTTTTGGAACAAGGGGGCAGCATTGCCTTTTCCAACATTACTGGTATAGGACCTATTGGTGGTCTTAAAGGAGGGACTTTGAATCTGGGTGCATTGAGCATTTTTCGAGGTGGGAAGCAGTTGCTGGACAATATTTTGCGCACAAATACAACTGGTCTGACTGGTCCGGTGGCATTTCATCCAGATAGGTCGCTGTTGAATCCTTCTTATGAAATCATTAACACAAACGAAAATGGATATCAAAGAACAGGATACTGGTCTAACTACTCTGGTACATCTCTTGTGCCCCCTGAGAAATTATTCAACCTGTCTAAGGCGAACCATAGTTTGGACACAGTTTTATGGCCCGGAGGGACAACAGTTAAGCCTCAGGGGTGGGTTTTTCCAAACAATGGAGAGAGATTGAGAATTGGAGTACCAAATCGTGTCAGCCTTCGAGACTTTGTGTCACGAACAAGTGGTACTGATGTAGTTGAAGGATACTGCATTGAGATATTCGTTGCAGCCATAAAGTTGCTTCCTTATGCAGTTCCATATAAGTTTGTTCTGTTTGGTGATGGCCTCAAGAACCCTAGTTACAATGAGCTTGTAAACATGGTTGCTTCAGGCGTAAGTAAAAATTCACCAATTTTTTCACACTATTTTTATCTTCCTGAACACCCTTGTTTGAATAAATCAAGAGAGAATAAAGGCAAACAAACAGGGGTATCCGGAACTTATTTTGTCACAATAAAATTGGGAAGCACAAAGTTTCCAAATTTTCATCTGATTTAGACCTTTGTTTTTTCAGAAGTTTGATGCTGCTGTAGGTGACATTGCGAAATCGAACAAAGACTCTGGATTTCACTCAGCCGTATATAGAGTCAGGGCTAGTTGTGGTGGCTCCAGTTAGGGGTTCAAATTCCGCTTGGACATTCTTAAAGCCATTTTCTTCATTTATGTGGGGTGTCACAGTATTTTTCTTCCTAGTCATTGGATTGGTAATATGGATTCTTGAACATAGAAAAAACGATGAGTTCCGAGGCCCTCCTAGGAAACAGGTTGTCACAATTTTATGGTAAGTACTTTGTACATTTAACATTCCGACACAGATTTTGCATATAGATACTAATTTACAGAGACTGGGATCCGTGGTGGCACGAAAAATTGTTGACTCATCCGCCTTCATTCACTTGTTTTTCAGGTTTAGCTTCTCTACCATGTTTTTTGCTCATAGTAAGTTCAATTTTGCCCCAAATGTTGTGTCCTTACCAAGAACTCGATGCAAGTTTAAAAGATCTATTTCGAACTTTCAGGAGAAAACATCGTGAGCACGCTAGGCCGCACGGTGCTGATCATCTGGCTTTTTGTAGTTCTAGTGATCAACTCAAGCTACACAGCTAGCCTGACATCAATGCTCACAGTACAACAATTATCATCCCCCATCACCGGCATCGATACCTTGATAACTAGCACAGAACCTATAGGATTCCAAATCGGATCTTTTGCTCAGAGCTATTTGGTTGAACAGCTCAACATCCCAAACTCGGCTCACCAGAAGCTTATGCAACCGCGCTTAAGGACAAAACTGTTGCTGCTGTGGTTGATGAAGGAGCATACATAGAACTCTTCCTCTCAGAAAATTGCAATTTCTCAATTAGGGGGTCGGAGTTCACCAAAAGTGGATGGGGATTTGTGAGTACCTCAACTTAACTACTTTTGGTCTTAAATTGCTTAATCCGCCCGGAGACCAATACTTTCCGTTTCAAATTTTTCTCTTGCCGAGCAGTCTGACATGCTTTACGTTATCAAACTTCGATCTAGACCACTCAACGAAGTGAAATCTTGTTTGCGTGTTTAGTTCATATTTGCAGTGTGACAAGATAACATGTCAAATATCTGAGAACCATCATTTAACTGTTTCGACTACATCCTACATGTTTTTTTTTGTAGGCATTTCCAAGATACTCTCCTTTGGCAATTGACATGTCAACTGCCATACTCACTCTCTCTGAGAATGGTGATCTCCAGAGAATTTATAACAAATGGCTCTCCAGAAAGATTTGTGCTTCAGAGACCTCCGACATTGTATCCGACCAGCTTCAACTACAAAGCTTTTGGGGGCTATTCCTTATCGCCGGCGCTGTATGTTTTATTGCTCTACTCATTCACTTGTTCTCCATGTTACGCCAGTTCAAACGCCATACCCCGAAAGCTGAAGATCAGTCTGAGCCTTCGAGCCACGGAAACATCAACTCTCGTTCTACCTTAACACATCTCCTCACGTTCTTGTCTTTCATCGACGAAAAGAGACACGAAATCAAAGAGAAGTAAATCGAAAAGGAAACGCAACGAAAGCGTGGTACCAAATGTGATTGAAAAGGAAGGTGATCGATCGGTAAGGAGTGCTTCCAAGAGAATACAAATCAACAACTCTCAAGAGATGCGTAGGATTGACAATGACACTTGGCTAATTCGTTAATTAAACATGATTAAGAAGTGAATCATTTCATATTTTTCTGACCAAAAAAGAATCATATTCATGCTTTGTCTTTTAATCCCTTGTATTAATATGTCATCTCATTTTGTTTGGTAATGAACTGTCATTTCAATTTTTCGAGAGTTATATATATTGCTATCATTTATTTGGTGTATCTGGTTATGAAATGGATAGTCGATATGCTATTGTTAATTTACATATACATATTTTTTTTTTCTTATTATCATGGGAAGGGGGAGGGGAGGGGTTCGAAATTATTACAATAATTTAGGGAAGGGGAAGTTTTGAACCCAGGATGCATGGATAGTTATATATCATGAACCAAACACCTGATCCACTAAGATATTAAACAACATGCCATATACATATCGATGTTCATTATTGAAAAAAATGTATATATTGATAGGTTTATTAATTGATTTACCTCCTAAATTTATCATTTAGTCTCACTTTACCTCCTGAAACAGTTTTTGTCTCATTTTGCCCCATGAAAGTGATAATCGTCTCATTTAGTCTCAGTTTATCTCATTTCCGTCCATTCCGTCAAATCAACGTTAAATTAAGGGGTAGTATGGACATTTTGTTTTTAATACAACTCTTTGCCTCCAACTTGGTTGCTAACAATCCCAATTCCATTGTCGAACCCTAATTCAAAGCCTTGTCTGTCTTTCTTGTGAATTGGTGTGGAACTGTAGCTACAGCTGTTGCAAAAACAAATAATGGGTTGTGTTTCAAAAACAAATAATGAGTTGTGTTTCAAAATCTAATTCAAGCCCCTCATTGAATCTAATGATTGCAACAGCTCTGAATCAATCTGTAAGAGAGACAGACAGAGGCTGAATTAGAGTTATCAGAGATGGAATTGGGATTGTTTTAGCTGGCAAATTTTAGGCAAAGAGTTGTGTCAAAAATAAAATTTCTGAACTACCCTTTAATTCAACATTTATTTGACAAAATGAACAAAAGTAGGGTAAACTGAGATTAAATAAGACGAGAATTACAGTTTCATAGGACAAAGTAAGATAAAAAACCAACTTTAAAGGTTAAAGTGAGACTAAATGATAGTTTTAAAGGGCAAATCAATTAATAAGCCTACCTCGATATTATATTGTCACAAACAATGTACATACGTGACATTAATGCATTTACGATAATATTTGTACAGTTTTTCTTTACTAGACACCCTACCACGTCATCAATTAAAATAAAAGTGAACAGTCATAGTATGTGTCAATTATCTGTTACGTCTCTTTTCACTTTATCTTGGTTAATTTTTTTCAAAATTAAAAAAGTAATATTTAATGTAAAAGTTAACTAGAGTTAATTAAAAGAACACATTAAAAAATAATTAGATATATGGTGAATATACATCATAATTATGATCGTGAATAAAAATATTTCCAAAATATAAAAGTGGTAAAATGATTAATGTTTAAGTACGAAAAAAAATTAATAAATGAAGTTACCTTTTCAATTTCTCTTGACAGTGGTTATGCCAATACCAAAAACCCCCGGCCCAGCCCATTAAGAGCAGTTCCAGCCCAAGGAAAATGACCGGCACCAAGTGAAGCAAATGGACCGGGACTCTGTCCATCACCTCCAGCCCAAGAAACAGGCTGGCACCCAGCCCAAGCCAGGCAGCAGCCCAGCCTATTTCGGACGGACCCAGAAGCCAGTCCATTTGCTGGCGCGTGCACAACACGCGGGAGTCCAGGCGAGTAGCCGATAGGCTTTGCAGGCGGTGGGGCACGCGTGCAGGGCAACTTGCATTCATCCGGCTGAGGGCTACGTGGCCCTCCTCAGAGCCGTTGGATTTCCAACGGCTAGTTTTTGTAGGCCGTTGGATTTCCAACGGTAAAAAAATTTTAAATTTAAATTTTAAATTGGACCGTCCGATCACAGATCAACGGTCCACGTTTTTTTACCAAAAATTTAAAAAAAAAAGGCCCAACGGTCAGAAATTTGACCGTTGGCCACGTGGCAGCGTGTTGGCTGTTGGATTTGATTATTTTTCAAATCCAACAGTCCAGATTAATTACAACATTAAAATTTATTAAAAATTAATTAAAAATTGCCAAAAAAATTTTTAAAAATACAGAAAAATTTTAAAAAATTAATTTTTTTTCTATAAATTATTAACCCTCATCTTCCACCTTACACCACATTTCAATATTTTCTACACTTTCTACACTTTCTACATTTGAATATTTTGTACACTTTGAGAGAAAAAAATGACTTTGTGGAAGCTCAGTGAAGATGTTACGTTGTGTGAATGTTGGGTTCGCACTACTCATGACCCGATTACGGGTAATGAGATGGATAAGCGAGAAATGTGGAGTAAAATTACGAAATCGTTTTGCGATGTACATGGAAAAGATGTACATGGAAAAAATGCCAGATCTAGTCAAGGTCTTCAAGGTCGTTGGAAAAAACTCAACGCATCCTTTACTTGTTGGAAAAACGCTCTCTCTCATGCTTCTGGTAATCTGCGTAGTGGGACAAGTTTAGCGGATGAGGTAACAATATTTTTATTTATTTATATGCATTCCACCCACATCAATATTTTAATTTATTTAATTTCTTATGTAATTTTTATGTAATATGCATTCCACGCCCATCAATATTTTATGTAATTTCTTATGTAATTTATATGCATTCCACGTCCATCAATATTTTAATTTATTTATTTGTGTTATACCCGTATTTTTTAATACTATCTTATCCCACATTTTTATAGACACTACAAGCACAAGCATTCTACAATGCAAAGAACCATAACAAATCATTCAACAAATGGGAATGTTGGCAAATTGTCAAAGATTGCCCTAGATACAAAATTGTGGCAACCGGTCCAGAAGTTGTCATGCACGGTATGGGTCTACACAGTTCGCCAGAAGTAGACATAGCCGAACAAGAAGCCAACACATTTGAAGACACGGAAGGGACGCCTGAACAAGTGCCAGAGACCCAACCGACTCGTCAATCCCTCAGGCCTTAAGGTAAAAAGGCATCAAAGAAAAAAAGTAGTTCTTCCAAAAATGACTACACTAAATATATGGAGGAACTTACTCGTCAATGTGAACTGAACATGGCATGGGAAAAGACTAGAGATGAGGAAAAAGCTGCTGCTATGGTAGCAATTATTGCAGCTACTGAGGCTCGTGATGCGGCGGCTGAGAGACAAAGAGAAATAGTTAATCGAAAGAACGAGATGATTAGAGAAGCACTTCATCGAGAGAATGAGATGCTTAGAGAAGAAAGGATGGCTCAAACAGATCGTGACACTATGAACAAGTCTCTAGTAGGACTGTCTCTGAATTCAAAATATTTTTGGACATCAGAAAAAAGAGATGTCGTGCGAAGGAGGCGTGCAAGAGATGCCGAAACAAGTCAAGGGGGTTCCAGCTACAGAAATCCTAGCAACCAAGATCCTAGCACCACATATCCTAACTCCACAGACTTTGTATAATTTCGCATTTATTTGTACTACTTTATTTAATTTCTTATGTAATTTCTTATTTACTTTTAAAACTTTATTTAATTTCATATGTAATTTCTTATTTACTTTTAGAACTTTATTTAATTTCTTATGTAATTTCTTATTTACTTTTAAAACTTTATTTAATTTAAACTTAAAATTACATAACCTCACCTTTTAAACTTAAAAAAAAAAAACCATTTAAACTTAAAACACCAAATAAAATTACATAAAACACCATTTAAACTTAAAATTACATAACCTCACCATTTAAACTTAAAACACCAAATAAAATTACATAACCTCACCATTTAAACTTAAAAAAAAAAAAACAAACACACTAAATAAGATTACTTAAAAAACAATACACTTTATTCTTCAACCACAAGCCTTATTTTAATTATCTTCGCCTTCGTGCAATCTCCACTGATGGTCAATCAAGTCATTCTGGCGGGCTATGTGCCAGTATGGCTCTTGCAATGAAGTGTATCGTTGAACGATCAATTCATTGTAATGTCCATCCCGTTCCAACGGCTCGTGTTGCACGGGATCTTCGGTCCGATCACGAGCATAGTAGATTTGTGTTCTTGAGTTGTTCATCAAATCCGGTTCGTATTCATCGACGGCATCATAATCATACTCGTCTTCAACAATCATGTTGTGGAGAATAATACACGTCATCATGATGGATCGAAGAGCCTCGACATCAAACATTCTAGCTGCAGCCCTGACAATGGCCCAACGAGCTTGCAGGATACCAAAACAACGCTCGACATCCTTCCTACACCCTTCTTGACACTTTGCGAAGTGTTTCTCTTTTTCACTCTGCGGGTGTGGCACTGTTTTGACAAATGTTGACCATCTTGGGTAAATACCATCTGCAAGGTAGTATGGTCCCTCGTATTTATTACCATTAACCCAATATGTGCATCTCGGCCCACGCCCTTGTAGCAGTTCGTCAAACACTGGAGATTGGGTAAGGACATTTAGGTCATTCTGAGCTCCTGGAACACCAAAAAAAGCATGTCAAATCCATGTATCAAAAGAAGCCACCGCTTCCAGAATGATACTTTTGGCTCTTTTTCTGTCGCCATAAGCTCATTGTCATGCACTTGGACAGTTTTTCCATGTCCAGTGCATGCAGTCGATGCTTCCAATCATGTCAGGGAAGCCTCGCATCTCACCCTTCCTCAGAAGCCTTCGCATGTCCCTTGTTGTGGGTTGCCAAAGGTACTCATTGGTGTAGAGGGCTTCAATTGCAGAGCAAAACTGCATCAGGGACTCCAGAACTGTTGTTTTTCCCACCCTTGCGATCTCATCCACTTGATCTGCAGATGCTCCATATGCAAGCATTCGCAAGGCAGCCGTAATTTTTTGCTCAGGAAGAAGACCTAGAACATGAAAAATATCCTCTTTTTGCACAAAATATGGATCATGGTTGCAAACATCACTCATGATTTTAGCGAACAAACTTCGTTGCATTCTAAAACGACGTCTAAAAACATGATCAGGGAAAACGTTGTTGGGAATAAAATAATCTTCGAAGAGATCTTTACCTCGTCTTTCCCTTCTTCTATCGATGTTTGCCGCACGTTCGGGTTTGGCTATCTGACCCATAGCTTCCACGATACAGCGGGAATGTGAGGCCCTCCGCCTTGTATGGTGATCATCCTTATCCTCCTCCATTGCGAAGGCCTCATCTCCACCTCCACCTTGGTCAAGATTGACCAATTCTTCCTGTTGTGCCAACAACCTTTTTTGCTGCTCTTGCAACTGTTTATACGCTCTCCTTGAAGAAGACAGTGTAAGAACTCAAGATTTGAAAACGATAAAGAAGAATTCTGAGCTAAAAAAAAGGATTGAGTTTAGTGTGAGGATGGATGTAGGGATGTAGGGTTTATACGGACAAAAAAAAAGAAAAGATGAGGTTCTGGACAATGCCACGTGGCACTACGTGATTGGTTGAAAATCTTAGCAGAAATCTATTCAAAAAATAGTATGTTCGGATAATGACACGTGGCGTGACGAGATTGGTTAAAAATCTTATCGAAATCTTGCTTAAATTATTGTAAACAGGAAGTGACACGTGGGTTGTCGGGATTGGTTGAAAATCTTAGCGGAAATCTATTCAAAAAATAGTACGTTCGGATAATGACACGTGGCGTGACGAGATTGGTTAAAAATCCTATCCGAAATTAAAACTATTTTTTTTTATTATTTTATAAAAAAATTATTTAATATTTTAAATGTACTGGGTGCCAGCGCATTTTGTAAGGGTGGAGATCGTTTGTGCCAGCGCACTTTTAGACTGGGTGCCAGCACATTTTTTTTTTGGATGGAGATGCTTTGGCCTATTACTGTTCATTGGGTCTATTACTGTTCAATTAAGTGGATAAATAGGCTGGGTGCTGGCGCAAAGTAGATAGGGGTGGAGTTGCTCTAACATTTCTTCAAAAACCCCAAAAGTCCCCACCATTGCCAAACAAGCATTTTTCTCCATCCTAAAACCCCTCACAGACCCTCAGGCCTCAGCTGCTCAGTCCGTCCACCAATGGCGATCTGCCACCAATCTCCGTTCAAGCTCTTCGCCGCAATCCCATCACCATCATCGAAGCCCAAACCCCTCCACCTCCGCTGCAACCTCTCCCTCCCCTCCAGACCCCCCCTCACCTCCACCGAGCCCGAACCCGTCTTCACCTCCGTCAAGGCCTTCGCTCCCGCCACCGTCGCCAATCTCGGCCCCGGATTCGACTTCTTGGGCTGCGCAGTCGACGGCCTCGGCGACTTCGTCTCTCTCACCCTCGACCCCCAGGTATCGCCGGGCGAGATCTCCATTTCCGAGATCTCCGGTGACCACAACTCCAAGAAGCTCAGCAAGAACCCTCTCTGGAACTGCGCCGGAATCGCCGCCATCGAAGTCATGAAGATGCTCGGAGTCCGATCGGTGGGTCTTTCGCTCACTCTGGAAAAGGGCTTGCCTTTAGGCTCGGGGCTCGGATCCAGTGCGGCGAGCGCGGCCGCCGCGGCTGTTGCGGTCAACGAGATTTTTGGCGGGAAATTGGGTATAGAGGAATTGGTGATCGCGGGGCTGAAATCGGAGGAGAAGGTTTCCGGTTACCACGCTGATAACATAGCTCCGGCTATTATGGGCGGGTTCGTATTGATTCGGAGCTATGAACCGTTGGATTTGATTCCGCTGATCTTTCCAGATGGTAAAGAATTGTTTTTTGTGTTGGCTACGCCGGAGTTTGAAGCTCCGACGAAGAAGATGAGGGCGGCGCTGCCTGCGGAGGTGGGGATGGCCCATCATGTCTGGAATTCGAGCCAGGCCGGGGCCCTTGTTGCGGCAGTGTTGCAGGGGGACTTGCCCGGGCTCGGCAGGGCTTTGTCGAGCGATAAGATCGTGGAGCCGCGGCGAGCCCCGCTGATTCCCGGTATGGACGCTGTAAAAAAGGCAGCAATCGAGGCCGGGGCATTCGGGTGTACCATTAGCGGGGCAGGTCCCACTGCCGTGGCGGTCACGGATGATCCCGAGAAGGGAAAGGTGATCGGAGAAAAAATGGTGGCGGCCTTTCTAAAGGAGGGAAAGTTGAAGGCCGCAGCGAGTGTGAGTAGACTCGACCGGGTTGGTGCCAGACTTGTCAGCACCATTCCAAGATAAGAAATATCTCTAGACTAAGAGCGGCCCGGTACCAAAAAGATTAGGTGGTTTTGTATACAAATGTAGTAGGAGGAAGGAGGTGTTTGTTGTGTTTGTGTTGCATTTTGTATTCACATAAAAATTGAGAACTGCGTAACGACGTGTTTTCAGCACATGTGTTGCCTGCCCTACATATATCAGTGTAGTTAGCCTCTCTTGTGACATCTTTAATGCATGGCTTCAGAAGCGAAGTGATTTCCGCACTTTTCTTTTTTTGCTCTAAAATAAACGAGCATGGAAAACACCGTTTCTTGAGTAATGCTCTAAAGTTGGATACTACAGAGTTGGATTTGGATGTTTGAACTCACAGTTGGTGATTAAAGGTTCTAGCTGGTTGTTAAATGCTTTTCACCGGAAAACCTCCGATCGTCTCCACTCGAAGCGGCAGTTGATGCAAGACTCGCAGAATGTGCGATCTGCTTGATGGAATTTGTGGACGGAGATGTCACAGGGGTGTTGCCATATTGTTGTCACGGATTCCATGTGAGTTGTGTTGATAGGTCGCTGCAGTGCAACTCTTCGTGCCCGTCTAGTCGTGCATTGTGGTTGTGGAAGAGAGGCGTCGCAAATGAAGTTGGTTTCGAACTCATGGATTCCAGATTTTGGAGCTCCAATAGGGAGAGGAAGATGTAGAAAAGCACAATTTTCATTCAATTCGAAGCACACGTAAAATTTCGACAAGTAAAATAGTAAAGCAATCACCTTTCATATGAAGGTTAAAGCACAATTTTCGTTCGGAACAAATTGTAAACACAACTCCTATCATTTTTATCTAGTATAACAAATGAGGGATAATTATACAATGATCCTTTCTACAAGGATCAACCGTACCAATTCCGAAACAAGTAAAGAAAATGTAGATTCGACGCAAAAGTAGCAAGATAAAACAGCCGTCAAAACTTTTAACCCAACATGGATCAAGTTAATTGTTCTTGGCAGCTGAAGCCTGCTTCGCACCAACAGAGAAAAACTCGGTAATCACTTCAAGGGGCATACCTTTGGTCTCCGGAACTTTCAAGAAAATGAAGATAAACGCTATGACGGACACAACTGCATACATGCCAAAGACACCAGCAAGGCCAACAGATTTGAGCATCACTGGAAGTGAGTAGGTGACAATGATGTCGCCAATCCAAAACGTGAGGGCGCAGATGGCAATGCAGAGGCCTCGAACTCTGGTGGGGAAGATTTCTGCACAGAGTATGTTGGGGATTGGACCAAACCCCATAACAAAGAAACAGAAGTAGAGCACAACGCTGACAGTCGAAACTGATGCATTTACAACACTGCCCATATTCACAAGGCTTCCGAGGACTAGGATGACAAGAGACACTATCAAGACAGGGATTGTGCCGAGCAGCAAGCTCCTGAATTAAGAATGGTTCCAAATTGTTACATGAGAAAACGTGATACATAAATTTAACATTGACATAACAAAACTGAAACATAACTGATGTTCAACATCTTATTTTGAGGATCACGAAATCGTATCCTTCAAACAACAAATACAAACCAGTACGTGTTCAGTTAGCCATTCAAGAAAGATGTCAAGATATAACCAAAAAATATATATTTACCTTCTGCCAGCTATATCCATGAGCCTCATGGCAATTGCTATACTAGGAAGCATCAGCAAGGTTGTCACTGCACTGATAAGCAGAGACGAAGAAGCTGAACTAATGCCCAAGTTCGAAAGAAGGATGCCAACGCCCGCCTGCTCAAGAATTTGAGGCGTGTAGTAGAGAACCCCACTTATACCGGAAAACTGCATGGAAAAGAAAAAAACAAACATCACTGGTCCAGTTGAGGTTACACGAGCAAATTATTAGAGACTTCTCAGTAAACGAATTTTCAATACCTGCTGAAGTATCTGCATTCCCACCCCAACAGCCAAGGCATGCTTCACTCCGGGTTCAAAAAGATCACTCCAACTTGGCCCTTTTGCAGAAGTTGCAGCTGGGTTAACCATTGCCGGTCCAACTGGATGCTGATTCATAAGTTCACGTGAGTACAGAGCCGATTTGCTCACCAAAGCAGCAGCCTGGATGAACTCACTGTCATTCGGTACATCGCCACCAGGTATCGAAACAATAGATCCATGGCGAGATGCAGGGACACCCTCCTGGTGCAAATAAATTCTTTTAAACCCTCCTTCCTTGTGTCCATCTTGGCCTTCTCTCTCAGACCATTTCCACGCCAGCTGCCAACCGCCACCAATATCGGTGCTACTAGCTCCCTCTCCACCAGTGAGACTGCCGTTTCTCATGCCAGCAAGGCTTCCCTGGGGAGGTGGGCCCACGTTCTTTTCAATGCTTGTTGTCTGACGCGAGATCAATGGACTGTGCAAATTGTCATCAGAATCACCACCGGCTGCATCAGATGCATAACCCTCTCCTTCTCTGGCAACACTCTCCTCGTCCCACTCTTCATGTCTAGGCTGATTCCCTCCCACGCTGAACATGCTGCCAAAGTGCGGAAAAAGCATACTTCCCTTGCTTCCTGTGTCGGGGAGCTTCTCATGTATACTGCCAAAGAGCGAGACCAGAGGATCAACAAGCCCACTTTGATTTACCATGCTTGCATGTCGAGACACAAGTCCAAGAGTGCTTTGCCTGGTGACAGGTTTGGCAACCCAGGATTGTCCTTGTTCAGGCCCATACAATCTGATTTCATCCTTTTCAGGAGATAAATCGTGGTCATCAGCGGAGTCGTCTGCTGGGCCAATTATGTACTCCTCAAAATACGTTTCACCCCCAACTCCAAGACCCTCAACAAGTAAAGCCATCTCACCTGTTGGCCAAAGAAGGATCAAATACCATTCAAACAATGCAGCATTGCATATGGAATAGTTATATAGCAGAAGCAAATAGCATGTACTTTCCTACTGTAATGGCTACCACACCAGATTGTGCAATCTGAAGTAAGAAAGAAAAAGTACCACCTTTATGCCAACTCGAAAAGGGTTTCACAGTGTTAAGAGCTAAAAAAGAAAGCAGAAAGGACTTCTGCTTCACAAAAATACACAAAGTGACAAGGTAGGGTTTTAAGTATGACGGCTCCAATTACCCAAAACTTGCCTTTGAAACCGGTTCTCCAATTTAGTTTCAGAAAGCTATCTTTCTATGTTGATCTAGAAATGAATTGCTGAAAACTTACTATCAATGCAAATTAATTAGAAACAAAGTATCACAACAAATAATCGAAGATAATCAGAACAAAATGACTAACCAGCGACATCTTCTCTGCCACGTAGCCTCAGCAAAACTTGCTTAGCCTCAAGCATCCGTCCCTTACTCACAAGCCATCGTGGAGACTCGGGCAAGAAGAACACAGTCAATATAAAATAAACAAGAGAAGGAAAAGAGAGAATCCCAAGCATCAACCTCCAACTTGCGGACTCTGTCAACGACATCCCAAAAACCATGCAATATGACAAGAACATCCCACCCGAGCCAAGAAACTGCGGAAGGGTATTCAACGATCCCCTTATTTCAGGCGGGGCTGTCTCAGATATATAAAGCGGAACCAAGGTAACCGCCAAACCGATTCCAAATCCATCTAAAAGCCGTGCCAAGAGAAGGATATAAACATTGGGAGACCACAGCATTACAAGACCACTAAGAAAGTAAAGGACAGAAGAGACTATCAGCGTAGGACGGCGGCCTAGCCAGTCTGCTACAGCTCCAGAACAAAATGTAACCACAGTTGCCCCTATAAGCGACATGGCCACGATCAGCCCTTCCATAGCTGGTTCGCTTTCCAAGTTGAATTCCCTCTTTATGTACAAAACAGAACCTGCAAGAAAAACCAAAACGTTCACTCAATCAAGCTCCGAAATCGCATAAGCTTAACTTAAAACCAATACTACTGGAAGAAAAAACGAATCAAGGACTGCCGTTGAAGTAAATTTCGGGGATAGACCGATGAACTGAACTCGATTAGCAATCAAAACAAAGCTAAAAAGGCCAATCTTTGAAGCATCTAAGCGACTATTTCTCCCAATCTTAAAAGCATCAACTTTCAAATGTTGAAAAAAGACAGGCATAAGTTGTAGATACTCAAAGAGAGATTTACCTGCGATAGTAGCGTTGTCCCATCCCTGCAACAGGTTACCAATTGCAGCAGCAACGGCAACAAGAACAGCTCCACTCATTTTTCCACTCAAAAATAAAAACCAATTGCAACCCTTTTCACAAAATCTCAGGAAAAACCAACCAATCCAATCAAAAAACAAAAAACCAGATCAAATATCAACGAATCGAACCAGTTTTTGATCACCCAGTTCAGCAATCCTAGCGACAAAGTGATCCCATTGCAGAAAACAAGACAAAAATCAGACACAAAGGAAGAACATGAGCAAAAACCAAAAGACAACAACAATAGGTGATTAAGGTTTTTACCTGAAATATAGGCGTTTGATTGATAGTGGGTCTGTACTGTTGTGTGCGTCCGTCTTCGAATGACACGACACCGTCAGGAGTTCGAGACTTTGACTCTTTGCAGATGATATTTTCACTTTTTTTTTTTTATAATTTCCACGAAAACGAAACGCAGGGTTATTGCAAAAATAAAAAATAAAGCAATTCTAATTCGTAAAGCAGCCTTCGGGACAGAGCGGTGGCTGTTGGACACCTGCCCCCTTCCCTCTCTCCTCGCCCTGCACGTCACCCCCTCCCTGCTCAGCTTTCTGCTACATGTTCCATCATCCTCTAAACGCGTGTTTTACGTAACTAAGTTGATTAGAACAATATTCCTCATGTATGAACTATCAATTTATAATACTGATTAGATTGGAATATCGTTCGAATGAAAATGAAAGAAAGCCAATGAGCACGATGCTCTGTTTTCTTAGAGAAGAGCATGTGAGAAGAACCAGTGGGGTTTTGAGGGGAGAGAACCAGCTGAACCAAGGCCGTGTAGGTTTAAGTTTAACAAACCAAAAGAAATATAAAGAAAAAAACTTAAAGAATTTGCTAAAAATAAAGATTTGGTAAAAAATTAAAAGAACTTCATAACGATTGGCCTGCAGTCTCAGCAGAGGACAGCACAACAGCACCAACCCAGCTCAGCTCTTGAATATTTCCCACTTTCAAATCTTCAATTAATGCCATTATTACGTAATGGACAAGACCAATAAAAAGGTAAATCAAATCAAAAGCATGTTTAGCAGAATTTTTTAATAATTTAACTGGGATTTGTTTGTGTAAATATCAGAGTCCCTGTCCCTGTAAGCGTGTAGGACGTGTATTAGCTCAAATCAATCTTGTATTAAGAAAAGAAGAAGCCTTAAACTAAAGCAATGATAGGCAAATTATTACTACGATCTTATGGTATTTATCTTTACTTGTAAGTTCGAGTGGTCTTAAATTTAATTTTCGTTAAAGATAAATTTGAATCACATTATTATTAGTCATTATCAGTCTTTGTTTACTTTTTCACTCTCTTAATATAAATAATATTATTTGTTAAAAAAATATTATTTGTAACAAAAATAAATGACAACACTAAAGCAATGATTGATTTGAGAGATGATGTGAATCGAATCGAATTGGATTGTCTGGTAACGGAACACAAGTAGAGGACAAGGAAATCCACAAGAGAAGTTGTATTTGAACTTATGTACCTTTTTTTTCACATCTAACTTGTATTTTAAATGTTAATTGTCTTTTTTATCTTTTTGTACAATTACAATCCAGTATAAAATGAAATTAATAATAAAACTAAAAATTTCTCAATAAACCCACATACTAAAATTAAACTCTACTATCACTCCTTTTTATCATACGTTCGTTCTAGCTAAAATCCTAATAACGCTTGTAGAGAAAGACAAGTTTTTTTTTTATCGATGGATGATGATTTTGAAGTTTTAATCCTTCAATGACATGGATTATCATGATGGTAATTATAAGCTTCTTGAATTTATTGACCCTTGACATGGATATATAGAAAATGATTCTCAGAGACTATCAGACCTGATCTAGGTTGTGGAGTTGAGAGAGTCGCCACATCCCCTCTTTCAATGTCCTACTTGCATTCACCAACTTGAAGGACTATTACATCATACCACCCTAACCACCAAAAGTTACACTTTAGTCAATTCACATAATCATAGAGCCACGAAAAAAACACAGGTACTATAAGCTATACTGGCCATCGACCAACCCTAAATACATGGTTAGCCTTTTTTATTTTCATTATTTCTAAAATCTGTACCCAGATGTAACACTAGACTAAAGTAGGAGGAAACAAATTGGACGTGGAACATCTCTCTCTCTCTCTCTCTCTCTCCTTCTCCTTTCAATGCTTCTTACACGAACAATTATATGAGCATCTTTAGAACACACCCTATGTTAATTTCTTCTAGGTGCTGTAAAGTTGTGCCGACATTCTTTAAACAAAAGCGGTTCAAATATTCTAACATACTCCTCAACAGATTCAAACTTCTCATGAACACATTGGAGATCTGTCTCCCCTGGTGCACAAATACAAACTTCAATAAAATTTCAGTTTGGGATTTTGTTTTTTAAATGGGTGCAAAGATAAATTCACATTTGAAATGGGTTTGGGAGGTTAGTCTAGGTAATAAATTTGAGTTTAAAAAGATATTAATTCTTTAATTAAAAATAACATGAATGTAAAGAATAAGTTAGGTGTAGAAAGAAGTTACAAGGATTCAAATAAAATTTCTCAATCCACAATCCAACGGTAGGGCTTTCAGCTTGCCTTTTTTCTTCCCTTTCTTTGAGCTCCTTTATTTTAATTTTGTTTTATATTTTTGCTTTTCTAAACAGAAAATATTTTACTCTTACCTTCTACCTGTTATAAATATCAAAATCAGGGCCCACCATCATCAAAGTAGTCGTAATAGAAAGTGCAGCTGGATCACCTATTTTTTAGGAAAAGCTAATGTTTGTTAGGTATTTTGGTTTGATTCTACTTACATTCAAAAAGAAACGAGCTACATCTGAGTTAAATTTGGAGATGAAAATCTTCTTTTGTTTCTTGACGGTGAAGTAAGACTAAGCTCATGAGCTTATTATCCTAGGTCGGAATAAGTTGATAGGATTCCCCTTTTAGGGTAGCCAAGGTAGACGGGTCACTTAAGGCCTCCACTTTTGAGGGGCTTCATTTTTTTATTGTATAAGTGTTTATATAAAAATTAATATTACAAACTTTGTGTTTGTTCAAATAAGAAGTTTACAAACTTTTGAGTCATTGAGTCTTGTGTGTAGAATTTTGTTAGCCATACAAGTTATAGTTGCTTCTGCAAAAAGAAGTTTTTCAAAAATTGAAGTTGATGAAATCTTAGCTTCGATCAACTATGTTACAAGAAAGATTGGATGTGTTAGCTATTTTATCAATTGAAAGAATTGGTTGAAAACTTAGATTATGTACTCAAAATTAGCACATTTGCATTTAAAAAGGCGAGATGTATAATATTTAAGTAATGTTTGTATATCTTTCTCTTTTTTTTTTTGGGAATTGTTATTGACACTTCAAAATTCTCATTCTACACTCCAAACTTTCTATCTTTAGAAAGAAAAATACACTTGTGAGGAGTGTAAAATGAGATTTTTGAAGTGCCCAATAACACTTCCTTTTTTTTCTTTTTTTTTTTACGTTAATTTATTTGATATTGATGTAGAAATAGACATTTCATGTGTTTAGCGAATACTTTTTATAGATATCAATGTACAAAGGATGCGGGTCAGATAGCTCTAATGCCCCACTTCAAATGCTTGCCTAGGGCCCCAAATTCCCAGAGACAGGCTTGACCAAAATTAGCATTGGTTATACAAACTACAGTTTTTTTTTTTTTTTTAACAAACGATATTATCTATACTAAAAGGTTGTGGAAGTGGGCTAAGTCACATAATGGGCTAGCAATAATGAGGTTCCAATTCACCTTTGGCGAGAATTGAACTTAAGACCTCTCACTTACAAGTGAAGAGGTATACCATTATACTGCAGTACTAAATGGCTACAAATTATAGTTTAGCAAGTGCATATATTCTTTTCTTTTTTGTGTGTGTTTTTATAAGTGATTTGTGCACGAATGAGACTATAATTTGTGCTACAAATTACAGTTTAGCAAGTGCATATATTCTTTTCTTTTTTGTGTGTGTTTTTGTAAGTGATTTGTGCACGAATGAGACTATAATTTGCAAGTCATTATAATGACTCGTAATTTGTAAGAAATGAGCTTTTTTTCTTTTATTTTTTATTTTTTTAATTGGGTTGATTTTTTTATTTGTATTTGGTTAGTATTATTTACAATTATATCAATGGTTGGGGGCATCAATTCAACAAGTTAGGGATTTGCATAATTGAAGCCAACAAGTATAGGGTCTATTCCATGGTTGGCATGTCAAAGTTACCAACAATTTGAAAGCCAGCTTTGTGTGGGTCAAGTAATTCCATGCGATATGGTACTTGTGGGTTTCAATTATTTAATTTGAAAGGTGAATTTGGAAGATGAATTTGAATTATATTATTACTAGCATATAATGAGACTAAGTCCAGTTCCTCACCCCTTAGTCTAGGTATATCGTTTGTTGAAAAAAAAAGAAAAAAAAAAAAGAGATTCTATAAGCTTTTGCTTGTCATGTAAGTCACCCTTCACATCATAAATTTTCTTTAATAAATTGAACATGTAAATATGTGATTACTAATTCTCTATATTATTTTAACTATAAATCTTTATCTTAGCATCATAGATGGTTAATAAATATCAAAGTGAACAAAAGTGATCTTGTTAATAAAATAAAATAAAATAAAATATTTCAATAGACAAGTTACAGCCCAAGAAAGACCATAAACAATAACAAGCACGAGTCTAAATAAAATACCCCCATAATATCTTCTTGAACTAGACGTCCCACAATAGCAGGAGGAATCTCAAACAAATAATCGTCAAAACTCAAATTCAAACCAGTTCCAACAAATTTATCATTTACGAAATTTCTCTTCCAAACAAGTACGTTGAATTTGACATCTATCACCATTTATCAATGCCTTACAGCTAGCTACCTAATTGAATGGAGAGAACGAAGGGAAATCTATACTTCTCAATATATCATTTGTGTAATTAGCAAATAATTAAGAACCGTTGATTTTGGTAGAAAACTTGAAACTTGGAAACTAGCAAACTAGCGCCTTGTGACTGATCTTGATTCTGTTCCTTTCTATTCAAATCTGTCGAATTATAGGGTTATGATGCAGGCCTGAGATAAAACTTGGACCTTCCTTTGTAAATTAGAAGATATAATGTTAAGCCCATTGGGCTAAGCCCAAATAACATTGTAGATAAATTCTTCCAAATTTGTTTTATGGTCTGATAACCCTAACATGGAAACGAACAAAAAGTTCTTGCATACTACAATGACATCTTTGCGTGCACGAAATGACTCAGAAATGTTCACTTTGTCACCTGGTAATCAAGGATTTGATACCTTTTACTAGATGGTGTACGAGACTCTAAAATGTCTATTGAATTTATTTAAATCTTAAATTCATGTTTTATTTTTTATTTCCTCTATGTGTTACTAACACATGTAGAACAAAAGGAATTGACACATAAACAAGAAGCGATGTGGTTTAGAGTTGGATAGACTGAGATAATTGGCTCAATCGGACATGGATGAAGATGATGCTTGTTTGGTATTTTACTTGAATAAAAACTTTCCAGAATCCGATAGTAAGTTGCGGTAAAACCCTAATTAAAGCTATGCATTGTTCAAAATTGGCTGCGACAAAGAACTCCATGCACTGCAACCCACATGTAATCCCGCCATTTTGGTCATGTGACCAACATATGAGGAGGAGATGATCACATAATCAATGAATAGTCATGTAACTAGCATGTGAAGAAATGTTTTTTTGGATCTATTGGATAAGAAATTCGAACTCAACACATATTTTCTGTGCGTTGAGAAATGCTCACCCAACATCATGTGAAAAAGTTTTTCTTTTTGCTATTCAAACACACAAATACGACAAGGTCAAGTTGGCTTAGCCTCATCTTAATATTTCGCTTCATTTCGTGACTTATTTTGCGTAGTCTCTTTACCGAGCTAAAAAAAAATTCCTTAAATGTGGGCCCTTTCACAAAAAATGGGCCTCTTTCATTAACACATTAGTACACAAATATAAAGGTTGACGTATGAATAAATATTTCCATGACCAATGCATTGGTCTAGAGATAATTTGCACAAATATGCATAAAAGTAAACTACTAGCCGCTACCATAAGTAAGCACCTTTGTACCAACACAAGTGCCCCGGTATAAATTCACCACAAATACAACATACGCTGCGAACCTATATCAAGGCACACACAATGTTGTCACTAGCAAACGAGACCACAAAAATTATCACTAACAAGCGAGACCACATCACTCGCCAGGCGAGACATTACCCGCTAGACACGGCACGTACAAAACATAACTAATACAAGAACGAAGTCCACTGTCAACTCATCTCCACGGGTCGGGTCCTCTCTATCTGAGATGATACCGTTTATGTAAAATCCACTGTTGCTAGAATCCAACAAAAACGAAACGGCAACAGATCTAGCAAGATAAGAGCAGTGTCAAAATTTCTAGTTAAACCGTCATGGCCAAGGAAGGGCCTCTTACTTTTCAATTTCATTAGACTTTACACTAAATTCACTTGATACGAGAATTGTTCTAGTTATAAACCATGATGCCGAAATTTCTCTCTACTATGCATAAAAGAATAGTCACGAATAGTCACTCTAAAAAGTCCAACAACTAAACTCAAATTGAATACGTTCACGGCCAGCTTATGGCCCACGCATAAAGAGCAATACAGTTTGGTTTAGTTGAGAATGGCAAAGCCATGTATTTGGATCGTAAACGTGGACGTATACGTAGCTAGAGAAGTCGTCCATGGCATCGAAATTTTTTGCACAAATCCCCGCTGCCACGTGATCCTGGAACCTCCTTTTACCCTTTTTTTTATTCCCCCAACCGCCCTAAAGCTAGTTTGTAGCGAGTTTGCAACTACTACCAAGTAAGCTCCTCTTCTCTCTCTCTCTCTCTCTCTCTCTCTTCATTTTCCCTGCATCTGTTTGCACCGCCGCTGTTCGACATTTGGCGGAGCTCCGGCCCTCCAACCCAAGAATCTATCAGATGGGTTTTGCTCCTCTTGGGGTTGGAACTTAAGGGATGTGAGATTGGAAGTGAGAGAGTGTTGAGATTGTCGAGATCATGGCAGGGGTTGAAGGAAGGTTGTGTGAGGAATTTTCACCTGCATATTATGGGCTCTGCACTGTTGGGGGAATGCTCAGTGCTGGCGCTACCCATCTCGCAATCACGCCTCTCGATGTCTTGAAAGTTAATATGCAGGTCAGTTTTCCATTATTTTTTCTGCGTTTTGTTTTTAATCAACCTTTTTAGCTTCCTCTCCAATTTTCTTGGATGTTTTGTGTGTTGAAGTTGAGAACTTTGCCTTTTGGTGACAAAATGTTTGGTGGGTTTTTGTTGCTTTGTATTGTCTGGCATTGGTGTTTTTGTTCTTGGAAGCTGAAGAATCTTAAGCAATTAAACAGTTAATCTTCAGCTCTGTGTGACAATATTTCGAGCTATTTTCGAGTATTGTGTTTCATGGATTTGTTTTATAGGGAATTGTAGTTGTTTTCATGTTCGTCACTGTGATCATTCAAGTTTTACTTTTGAATAAAAGATCCATGCTTAGTTTACTTTGCAATAGTTCGATACTGGTTTTTCGTGTTCCCTCAAATCTGATTTTATAGTTTTGCATTTGCGTGTTTATGTTACCGATTAGTACAGTTGAGTGCCACTGTATGTCTTACCAATTTTTATTAGTAAATAGACTGGCTGCAGAGGTGGCTGTATCCTTTGTTTACTTACTGATGATTTTAGTTGTTGTTAGAGATGAATTAATATAATGTGCAAGGATTTGGCATGAGAAATCAGGAAACTGTGGGATAATAAGATACCAAGTTTGAAGTTTTCATTTGGTGAGTTTAAACATAGTAGGCTAGTCCTTGCCCTTATAGAAAAAGTTGTTCCTTCTCTAAAGAATAGAAGTTCCCAAATAAGGAATAGGGGTTATGTGCGGTTGGTATGTAGGTATGTTGGTATGTTTCTCCTTGACCAAAACCTCGCAAATTGATCTTGGTGCTGATGGTTTTTCTTGACAAATTTAATACATTGAATGGCATGGGTCTCAGGTCAGTATAACCAACTACATCGCTTCCCTTGCACATAATTCTTCTGGTGCTTTAGCTTGTATCTTCAAGTGACTTACCAGATGTACATCTCTGTTCTTTCCAGTAGTGAAATTTCATGTGGTTCCATTGGTTACCATATATTCATTTCAGTTTCCATTTCCATTTCTGGGGGATGCAAATTAATGTTTCAAGGATTGATCTCCCTTATTTTTATTTGTCTTTAAATTCGTTACTCTTTTGACAGTCGAGAACATTATTATTCTCTAAAACGGATGCTGATAATTTAACTTGTCCAATTCAGGTAAATCCAATTAAATATAACAGGATGGGTACAGGGTTTTCCACTCTTTGGAAAGAACAAGGCCCTTCTTCTCTTTGGAGAGGTTGGTCTGGAAAGCTTTTTGGATATGGTTTTCAGGGTGGCTGCAGATTTGGTCTCTACGAATACTTTAAGAAGCTTTACTCGGATGCATTGATAGATCAAAACAAGAGTACCATCTTCTTCCTCAGCAGTGCATCTGCTCAAGTATTTGCTGATGTGGCTCTCTGTCCTTTTGAAGCCGTCAAAGTCCGAGTTCAAACACAGCCCTACTTTGCAAAGGGCTTAGTTGATGGGTTTCCAAAGCTATACTCAACGGAAGGGATATCTGGGTAAGTTACCAAAAACTAGTCCTTTTCCTTCTCATAGTTTCTCAGTTATCCTTATCAGCTTATCTACACTGCAGCTTTTACAGAGGAATTTTACCACTTTGGGGTCGAAATCTTCCATGTAATATCTCTATCTCTGCATTGTAAAAGTTTCATTTGCTTGTTTAGTGGGATTCCTGCTTTTGAATTAAAAATATACTTTTTGGAGGGTTTGTCACAGTAGAAATTTCAAGGGTGTGTGTTGTCCTGATTTATCCAGTATAATGGGCAGCTAATGCAGTTTTGAAGTTCATGCCATCTTGCAATTTTAAATGGGAAGTGTTATTGGCGCTCCAAAAATCTCATTCTACACTCCTCACGAGTGTATTTTTCTTTCCAAATATAGAAAGTCTGGAGTGTAGAAAGAGATTTTTCGAGTGCCAATAACAATTCCCTTTTAAATAATATATTAGTATTCAGTACAGAATAGCATACATGATTTCTGTTAAATAGCAGTATGAAATCATGATGGTAGTCGGCTATATGTCATTACAAGAGCTGCGTTGTTGCTAGTGTGGTTGTTTTCAAGTAGAAATAAACTTCTTTTGGCTGTCTGCGTCTGCTAGTTATCGTTCAAATTTTTATGTACACAGTCCTATACATGATTTCTGACAAAGCCGTTCTACTTCTCCAGTAATGCTTTTGGTTGAGAAGTTTTATTGAAAATTTTAAACAAGAAAATAGTCTTAAATCTATTCTGACAGGAAATATTACATTAAACCTTCGAGACTAAATCGTAGCCTGTTGGCTTATGTCAGCCTGACCCAAGCAATCGGCTAGCTTTCTTTCTGGCATTTAGCATGACAAAGTTACTATCTTTTCTTATTTATTGTGATCAAGCATTCAGTAGTGACTAGAGATTATGCAATGTCACATTGCAGTAACTATTTTTATTAAATTTCCTGTTGTATTCATTTTCTTCAGTCACGGTGATAATGTTCACGACGTTTGAGCACTCAGTGGATCTGATTTATCGCAACATTATGCAAAGGAGAAAAGAGGATTGTTCAAGAGCCCAACAGCTTGGTGTGACATGTTTAGCGGCCTATGCAGCAGGAGCTGTTGGTACTGTGGTCTCCAACCCCGCAGATAACATTGTTTCCACTCTTTACAATAAAAAGGCTGCCAATGTGATGCAGGTAGCCCTTCAAATTAAGCTTTTCATTGGTTCTTTTTTTTGCATTTCAAGGTTAAGGCATCAATTAATGCATTGGTTTTATATCTTATCTTCAGGCTGTGAAGAACATTGGCCTTGTTAATCTATTTACTCGAAGTCTTCCTGTGCGAATTACACTTGTCGGCCCTGTTGTTACCTTGCAGTGGTTTTTCTATGACAGCATCAAAGTTCTTTGTGGACTGTAAGCGCCTGTTACTTGATTCACACACAACCCGACATATTCTCTCTTGTTTCATCTAATGACAAGTTCCAGTTTGAAAATTTCAGGCCATCTAGTGGAGGGCTTTCCAGGCGTCTTGAAGAAGCTAACATATCATCTGAATAACATAGATTAGATAAAGAACAGTTGAATCGGATCAATTTCTTTGAGGATGAGGGGAAGTCACCCTTAGGGCCAGAAAATACTATCGTTTGTCTCTGGCTTTTCGGCTTTGATCCTTCGTTAGGCTACGGTAAATATAGTCGTTGATCGGCAGTCTAGCTTCGTGGAACGTTATGATTTTGGGTATATAAGATGTAAATAGATTGTGCTGCATGCTTTTATGTTAACGTGCAGCAGCAATTATAAAGTATGAGCTTTGCCTTGGAAGACATTTTGTATACTTCAAATGTTATGTTAGTAGGGGTTTCATGAGTCCTATGGAAAGCTAAGCTATACACTTTGAGGAGCCTTTTCAGTGCAGGGCACGCGCTCTGTACAATGGGATCGATTTTGAACTTGAGATAACTTACATGCAAATAAAAATATCACTACATCGTGGTGCAAGTGGCATGTCACTCATGGTTAGATATCCTTTATTAAAAATTGTACCTTTTTTTTTTACCTTGAATGGTTCTTAAGATTGTCATAACTCCTTACTTTGGTCTCTGAGATTTAAAATCAATAGAACTGGCCCTTTAGTTTGTACATTGTCAATCATTTTAGTTATTTAATGAAAAACCTTCGTTCAATAAGGAAAAAATAACAAAAATTTTGTCAAATCATTTTGGCATATTGTTTAGTAAATTGGGGGTATTTTTGTCGTTTTGGTCTTTATTTAACAAAGATTTTTTCACAGAATGACCAGAATGATTGATGGTGGAAAAACACAATGGCCATTTTTATCGATTTTAAATATCAAGGACCAAAGTAAGGAGTTATGTCAATCTCAAAGACCATTTATACTAAAATGCCCAAATTGTATTATGAGCGCTAAAAATATTGTTCATTCAATTGTGTTTTGACGGTTTTGCCCATGTTTAATGCTCCTCACCTAAACAGTAAAATATCAAAAATGCCCTTGTGGGACATCATGTTGGGGAGTTTTCGTGTCAAAGATTGTAAAGAACTTTAACGAAAAGCTTCCGGTATTGTTCATTTTAACGAAAAATCACATTTAAAAATATATAACATATAAAAAAAATATTGAGTCCATACAAATTGGGTCAAACTACAAGGCAAAACAAAAATGTAATTTAGCCCAAAAGACGAGGATGGGCTTTACATACAAGTCAAACATCCATAAATAAATTTTAAAAAATAAATATAATAATAAAAGTAAACAGGATGTGAATCCCTTCCTACAAAAGGAAGAAACGTGCAAGACAAGGGGGCTCCCCACATTTCTGCAACAAAAGAAAGAAACGTGCAAGACGGGGGCTCCCCACTTTTCTGCAACAAAAGAATGTGGAAGAGGTTAAAAGAAAGTGGTAGAAAACATGGCCTCCATCTCCCCCACGTAAAAAACTCTAGAGCCTTCCCAGGGTGCCTATGAATAGGCATCAGCTGCAGCAAGAAGGAGACAGAAAAAGAGAGGGGATACTCTGCAGAAAATAAGAAAAACTTTGAGAGAAAATATCAAAAACAATGAAGTGCTGCTAGAAAAGTGAACAAGGAGTTCAACCATTCGTGCTTTCGAATCAAGATCCAAAGAAGAACATTCATCACCAGGTATGAAACAAGTTCTGTTAATTTATTTATCTCTCTTGTTTAATGTTGTGTTGCAGACAAAAGTGAAAAAATGGGGCATAATCAACTACCTTGAACCTGTAATCATCAAGAAAATTGCCAACAAGCCACCATAAAAGGTTTCTGTGCAAGGAGGGTTTCTTAAATGGTAGCCCGACTACTCTTCTATACCTGCAACAACAACACAAAGCGATCCAAAGAAAAGCAGCCACATGTTTTCTTTCTGCCTAAATCTGAAGAGAGCAAAAGTACACAAGAGTTTCGCTCCTCGCCACTGCCGTCATTCCCATGAATTTCTTCGGGGTGGCCTAGACCATCCCGTGAAGTTCCAGTCAAGTCTAAGTAACCTATGCTTGCCGTCCGTGCCAAGAAGGAAAGGAGCAATTGGTGTTACGGCAAGCAAAGGTTTTGGATAAAGAAAGAGCAAAGTTTCATTCGACTCTCAACATTGACGGCGAGTCTTCTAGGTAACATGAATGCCATTCTTATGGTTATCATGTTGGGCAAAGTTAAGGAGACTTGAAAGACAACAAAGGATCATTCCAATTGCTATCGGTCAAAAATCAAGCCAAGGAAGCAGATATAGAAAGTCAAGTCTTATATGCAAGGTCATTCTTTACGGTCCAATGAGAAAATAGGTGCACTTATGGACAAATGAACAAAGGAAAAGAAGTCAAATGCAACTTTTGTTCCCCTTAAACCGACCCATGCTTGGTCTCTATGAAGAAAAACAACAAGGGATCAACATATAACAAAATGCAACTCAAAAGGAAAGAAATTGTTCTGTTTTCTTTGCTACTCACGAGTACAAGACGAGGAGAAGGCTTTTGCATAAAATCCTATGAAAACTGACTTGGGATAAGAGTCCAAGGAAAAGGAGAAATTGGAAAAGATGATGTCTCCCTTCATAAAGTTCCAGCAAAATATATTGGGATGATGTTTGCATATTTCAAAGATGGACCAAAGTCAAAGCATGGGACTTTACCAAAGAAGAAAGTTAAAGTATGGGTCAAAAATATTGACCAAAAGCATTGAAGTAAGACTGACAGATGCTACAAAACAAAGGGAAAGAAAGGAAACTTGCCAATCTCTAAATAAACAGCTAAAGGGGATTTGCTTCTCTGCCACGTGAAGTTGGATTTGAAAGAGTTCAAAGCTGTCCCAAGTTTACAAAGAAGGAAAAGCTTACTATCAAACTTCCCAAATTAATTGGGAAACTCGTTCACATGGCAACCTTTGTATTAACACCCAAAGAACTAGAAGACAAATCAAAATTACAAAAGATTTTGGGAAAAGCATCACTTTGTACAAGTGTTAATGAGAAAAGATGGCACGTATCAAAGACAACACATGGATGGGAGCACAAAAAGGGTGTCCAAATGCCCACTATCAAGACCAGCCAAATAATTCTCAATGCAACAGAAATGCCAGAGAGCGATTATTACACACTGAAACATTAAAACCCATTCAAAATACGACAGATACTATGAGTACGTCACTACAAATTTCAGGGTGTAATTCTCACCTTTGGAGCCATGAATCAACAATTGTCTTCAATAAATTCGGTAATGCAAAATGGTTTGTCCAACGACCATGTCAAAAACCAAGTCAAAATGGTACTGAAAGCTACTGATGATAAAGGAAAAGTTATATAAATTTAGACTACATAAGTTACCAACATCAAATTAGGCTTATCATCTACCATTACAAAAAAGAAGGGTTTTTGTTTTGTCAACCCAATCAAGTTCATTACCTGAAGGACACAGCAACAAACCAAATCGAAGAGATGTCATTGCCCGAGACACCTGCACGAAATAATTGATAAGTTCGTTACAGTTCAGAGTTTCAACCCACTCCAAATCAAACCCAGAACATTAAAAAAACGAAAATGGAGTGACCTGCTGGTTATTTTCTCCTCCTTTTTGCTTTGAATTTTTGCTCCACAAAAGAATCACAAGCCGGGTAGTAAGAGCAAGAGAACAATGCAGTAGAAAAATGAAAGAGTTTATGACCTGCACAAGAGGAAGCCTTTATGATTTAAGGGGGGAAATGACGGTAAATTGAAGAAATTTGAAAACGATCTGAGCTCTAACAAACCTTACCCATCCTCACTTGGAAATCAACAGTTACCCAATCCAAATAGAAGTTCGAAATATACGAAATCCGTGGAAGCCCAGAATATCGGAATTATTTCTGGAGGAAGACCACTGGTATAAGAGCCAAGAAAAAGGGGGAAAAATCTCTGAACCCATTTCGCGGGGGGGGAAAAATCTCCAAATTCAAGTGGCACGAAGTCATAGCTCCCCATCTAAATTTATATGGGCTCTGTATGTGAGTAACCCCATGAATTTGAATTCTGACCAAGTATTAAATGGCGAGAGGATGGTGCATTCCAAGACGAAAAGAAATATAAAGACAATATCAACATTAGAGCACTTCCACCGGGGGTGGGATAGGCCGGCACACAGCCAAAAAAATGGCCCGGCACCTATGGAAGTCTCTCCAGCCCACAGGATTGCCTGGCACCCAGCCCAAGCTAGTCTCCAGGCCAACCCAAAATTGACAGACCTTGGGACAGGCTCATATGATGCCATGGTGATGTCTGCGATGGATGGAGCGACAGAGGGAGAAGGCAAATAGCCTGAAAATGATGGCCCGAGTTCGACGGAAAATCTGAAAAAAAAAATGCATTGACAGCAAGTTTGCATCAACACAAAGGTTTCCAACACGATTTATATGTTAGAAACCATAAGAATAGGATTGATAACTTACCCAGGTGAAATGCAAGAGATTTCACCGAGATTGGACCTTGAACTCGTCGGAGTTGTCCGTTTTCCTTTGTCGGAATCACATGCAGGGAATTAAGCCCTCAAATTAACCACAAAAATTGCAACATAACAGGATTTAAAGCTCAAGAACACGATACAATGATAGAAACATCACCTGGGTTAGAGATTGAGTAGCTCAAGCTCTCGGCTTCAATGGTGGGATCTTGCACCATGCACCGATGCCACATGCAAGGCCATGGTTGGGTTTCTTGAGCTCCAGGGATTACAAAAATAATATTTTGTGTTTGATTTGTTGAAGGTTTTGAAGAGGAATGAGAAGAAGAGCTCACGGGAGTGAGCTACAAAACAGAGAGAGGGAGAGAAAATAAAGAGAGAGAGGGAGAGAACCGGTTGGGCATTATAGGAAGAGTATAGAGGGTTAGTGGAAAGATGACTTTATCTTCTTTTTTTTTTTTATAATACAATTATTATTTTATAATAAATAATAATAATATTTTAATAAAATTGACTAGGCTATTTTTTTTTAGGAATGGAGATGCTCTTGGTCTATTACTGTTCATTGGAGTCTATCACTGTTCACTGAGTGGATAAATGCGCTGGGTGCTAGCGCAAAGTCTTTAGGAATGGAATTGCTCTTATAAAGATAATGTCGGCATCAAGTTGGTAGACACGCATCACTTCAAATATCGTGATGCTAACCATCTTGTAACACAAAGATCGATGGTACTCTGTGACAAAATCTCAAATGGCATGAAGCCATATCAAGTATCAAAAAGCACAAAGCCATAACAAGACTTAAATGGCGCGAAGCCACGACAAATGTCAAATGAAAAATTAAATATCAAATGGCACGAAGTCGAAGAAAAATCTCAAATGGCACAAAGCCGCCCTCCAAATTCAAGTGGCACGAAGTCACGTCAAGTTTCAAATGGCACGAAGCTGTATCAAATCCCAAATGGCACGAAGCCGAAAGAAAATCTCAAATGGCATGAAGCCGTATCAAATATCAAATGGTACAAAACCGCAACGAGTCTCAAAAATCACGAAGTTACGTTAAACGCTCAAATGGCTTAAAGTCCTCGCCCGCACGAGCTCAAAAATCACTGAAGCTACATTAAATGCTCCAACGGCTTAAAGTCCTTGCAAAGCTACGTTAAACGCTCCAACGGCTTAAAGTCCTCACCCGCACGAGCTCAAAAATCATGAAGCTACGTTAAACACTTTAACGGCTTAAAGTCCTCGCGAAGCTACGTTAAACGCTCCAACGGCTTAAAGTCCTCGCCCGCACGAGCTCAAATATCACGAAGCTACGTTAAACGCTCCAATGGCTTAAAGTCCTCGCCCGCACAAGCTAAAACTGCAGAAGGCATCAATCGCTCCAATGGTTTAAATCCTCGCCTGCACGAGCTAAAACTGCACAAGGCATCAATCGCTTCAACGGCTTAAAGTCCTTGCCCGCACGTACGCCCGCATGAGTTAAAACTACACATGGCAAAATCGCTCTAATGACTTAAGTCCTTGCTCGCACAAGCTAAAACTGCACAAGGTATAAATCACTCCAATGACTTGTCCTCGCCCGCACGAGCTAAAACTGCACAAGGCATCAATCGCTACCTGCAAGAGCTAAAATTGCACAAGGCATCAAAAGCTCTAATGGTTCAAAATCCTCATCTGCACGAGCTAAAACTGCACAAGGCATCAAATCTAAACAAGTAACAAATACTAAGGAACTACGAGTGACTTGATCCCTCAACGAGGGTACGTAGGCAATCTAAGGCTCTACCTAGATGCAGTCACAAAATCAAATAAACACCTAAATCCCCAAAGTTACAATTTATTCATATTAGAATCAAAGGGTATTCCTTTCCCAAAAGAAAGGTTGTAATTAATAGGCGTGTAGCCTAGAATGGGTCGAACTCAAATTAATAAACCCCTCTTCAAAAAATGAATGAGGGTGAAATTGTGTCGAGTGAATTATTTGTTTACATATTGTGTACAATTTTTCCTCAACACCTAGTACTATTCATTTTACCCTTTAATTTGTCCTTATCGTTAAAACTCAAAGTTTTCATGTCATTTTCATTAGTTTTCCTAAGGGCTTATATTGTAAAGAAACAAGCCAAAACCTTCATGTCCCCCGTTTTTGAGTTAGTGATGACTAGGCTCAAAGCATCCCAGAGGAAAAACAAGTCCTAGGGAATGCTTTGTTCTTCTTACAAGCAATTTTTGGATGCTTGGTTTGGTATTATGTTGAGTGCTTAGGCACTGAAGTGCTTCCAATGCTGATAGGACCTTTCCCTTGGCACTGATGGAATGTTTCTCTAGGAGTTGACAGAGCGTTTCCCTAAGCATTGATGGTGGATTCCCTAGGCGCTGATAGAATGTTTCTCTCATTGATTGCAACAGCTTTGAGGAGTATTTGTTAAACTAACAAACATTGAAAACGACTTAGTACCACAATAAGTTATGACTTACACGAATGATGTATGGTGTGAAAGCTAAAAGCCCACTACTTTGGCATAAGAGAGAGGTTGTTCTTGGCTGTATGGTATTGAAGTAGCTAATCTAGAGTTTTTAATGGTTTTGCAGGGGTTAAGGAGACTTATTGAAAGACTCAGGATGAAAGAAAAACTTATCCTTTAGAAACTAGGGCTTCCTACACTTAGATTAAGTTTGCTCTGCGTGGTGCATTCTTGCCTTTGTCGTTCTTCTTCCCCTTGTGTGTTTGTGTGTCTTCCCCTTTATAAGGTACTGATGCCTTGTATTTATAGAAGCAAAGACTTTTGTAGGCTTCAACTAAGGGATCTCTTGGTCCTTTCTCCTCTTCCAAATTAGATGAGTCTTCTTTTCGTCTTTCCATGGCTGCAGCTACATGTTTCTCTTTTGGTATAATGTTGTAGAGGCTAGAAACTCTGTGAAGCTTGTTTGAGCACACTGCCCAAAATTTCTCCTTTCCCGAACTAAGCCCCACAACACTTTTACTGGACTAAGTCCCACTGCATGACTCTATCTTTGGTAACGCTCCTTCCTGCTTTCTCTCATCTTTTTCCTATGTGAGCTTGAAAAGGAAAGCTGTTAACTCTAAACATTCTCATGTGAAGCCAAAATCATATGCTTGGACTTTTAGTGCTCTCAGGCAACCCAAAAGTCATCCACAATTCTAATTCCACATAGGCCAATGAATCTATGTAATCATACACACTACGAACAGCTCAGCAAGCCCTGTTAAGTGGCTTGAGCTCATTTAAGCGTGTCGCATGCTTTGTGTGACTTGAACTATAATATTAATGTATTAATATCATAATATAGCTTGGCATGGTAGATATGCGTGATTGTATGGGTTTGACATCTAATAAATTATTATTCTATTAGCATGGCATGATCGTAAATTGGCATATTCTTGTTTCGTACTTTATGCATGGATTTAAGCTCCGCTTCGACAACAATTGGGTTTTGAGAAATGATTGGGCTTGTAGTGACATTTTTAGGCCATAACGCATGTTTTGCAACATATTATTTCCCTATTCTTATAAGCAAATCTAACATTGTTGAAATGTTTATAAAAAAACATTAAAATAGCATAAGAGGTCTTAGGTTCAATTTTCGTCAAATACAAATTTAAACCACATTTATTAATAGCCCATTATGAGACTTAGTCCACTTCTCTACCCCTTTAGTGTAGATAATATCGTTTGTTGAAAAAAATGTAACTTAAGAAAAGCTAACACAAAAAATGAAATAATCGTGTAATCGAATTACTACATAAATAAATATATAACCTTATGACTTATATAGTGCCCGGGATCCCATCGGAAGAGATTCTATTCTAGAGGCCCAAAAATTTGTTTGAGCTCTAAAGTAGGCTTCCACAGTTCCATATAGAGTCTCAGAATGCTCTAAGCAAGAATAAAATGGTGATCTTATTTAGTTAGGCCCCCCTTTAATATCAACTTCATTTTTTTAATCAATATATGGATATAGAAATCTATAACTGAGACTGTTTATACAACTTTTACTAATATATTTTTTTTGTTGAATGCATATGAAAAAGAAACATAATGGGTGTTAATGTTATGGAAGTTGTTCTAATCCTTGAAAAGTTCGTCAATGTCACCATTGGGCTGCCACTAATTGATTGATTAGGATCCTTGTGTTGTACTTAGGAAAATATTAATCTAATCAATTTGGCCTTGGTGTTTTATGACGTTAATTTTCTTGTTCAATTTGGTTTAATTTGATGCTAATTTATTTTGATGTGTGATTCGCTGCACGTAAACAAATTAACCACTTCATTTGCCTTAGTTGTATTTAAACTCGTCACATTAAAAACAACTTATATGGTACATATACTATAATCGTAACATTTCATGTTAACATATGACGCTGTTTATGTATGAAAAAAAATTACCCATGTCATATTATTGAACATAAAACACAACAGTATATTCAGGCCATAAAGTCCATGCGTCTCAGAAACTTAGATTTTATGTCATTGGACCTATGCATCTATAGGTGGCTGCTATGCTTTAATAGACAGTGTCCCATTTGCCCTTTTCAATTTTCAGTTTTAGGCTGCAGTGAGTTGACCTGCAAACTTCTACCAGAATTTTGGGTCAGGTATTTCAGCTTTGCACTACATTTTTTTCCTTTTCTTTATTATTATTATTATTTTTAAACAAACAATAATATTTAAATAAAAAATAAAAAAGTAGGCTAAGTCTTATAATAAACTTGTTATAATAAAATTATTCAACTTCACATTCGATAAAACCTCTTAATTATAAATAAAGAGAAATATTACTAGATCGGAGTACTAAATGACCAGCTTTGCACTACTTAACCATTTGGCTGGATTATTGTGGATCTTAGGCCATCTCCAACTGATCCAGCCAGAGGGTCAAAAATAATTCGAAATGACACGAAAACAGCCTTCAACCGAGGGCCAGTCCAAAGGGCTCGTAGGCCCCACCGGGCCAAAAAGAAGAAAAGGGCCAACTGGCTGGCTATAAAATGGGCCAGCCAGCTAGCCCCGGGCCAGACCATAAATTTGAAACCAACGGCTAGCTGACATTAGCGTAACACCAGTTAGCAACGGTTAGCTGACATCAATTACTATTGGAT